TAAAAACAAGGTGCTAATGAAGTTGTGGCTGCATGGTGGAGAGGAGAGAAGAGAGAGGGCAGTCTCCATCAGCCAGCTTTTACAGGTGGTATGCCACACCCACAATCAGGTGTAGCTCATTGGGTTGGCCCTCCCACTCTCTGGAATCTGGAAGGGAGGGGGGAGAGAGCCAGCAACAGCACAAACATGCACCCACAAAATACAGACCAAAGCTGGGGTCGTAACAACATGATTAAGTACATGACTGAAGAAAATAAGCTGCTACTACTAAACTACTTATTAGAGCCAGAGTCGATGCGCCCCCAAACTCACTTCCTATTTAGAACGCGGCGGCTAGCGGGTTAACTATGGACATTTATATATACAGTCTATGGTAGGGTCACAAAACATTAAAATAAAACTATTTAAAGGTGCATTCTGTAACATTTCTGTAGAAGGGCAAGACACCTGCATATTTCCAAGGTGAGGTTAGTGTCTTGAATGTTCCACAGAATAGCAGCTTAGAGTTACAGGTTTGATCTGTGGAGATGCATGTTTGCTCACAATAATAATGCATAGTAATCAAGGGATTCTTTAGCAATAAGTGTAAGATAGCCATGTTTAAAGCTATATTGTGGGACATTCTACACAAAACAATATCATCATAAAATTATATGCACCTTTATTATACTATAAAGTACCAACTTTACAATAAGTTGCAGCCAATACTTACTGAGGTAGCAATTGCAAAGTAGTAAAATGATATTAGAACATTTTCATAACATTGTCCATAAAAATCAATTATTAAAATACTTCTAGTACTTCTACTTCTTAAGTGGCCCATATTACACTACAGTATTCTCTAATCTGTTATAAGGTTTCCTCATCTCAAACAGACCTTCACTACAATCATTTGAACAATTTCAGCCCTACCAATCTCTTCTAAACAAAAGGTAAAAGGTAGCTGTTAACTTGAAAACTACCACTACATGGCATCACAAGGTAGAATAGAGCATTTTGGGTTTTGGAGATAACTATAACTTTGGAGAGACTAACTAACAATAAAGGATTACTCAAACATGTGTGAATGAAACAAAACATAATTCCTGGTTTGTTTTTGAGTAAGTAACAACACTACATGGCCTAATGCTCACAAGAGTCAAGTTTGTGGAATATAAGACCTTTAAATTTGTCAAAGGACACCACAAAAGATATGGATATGAGATATAGTAAAATAACAATCAAATAATTCCAATCATTTCAATAGACAGTTTACATTTATGTATGAGTTGATGAGGTAGTATATGACAAGAAACCTTTTATTTATCCCACAATGGAGACAAAATGCTAACAGTATTATCAAGCAGCATATAAAATTGAACAATGGCTCCACATATGATGAATTTCACATATAATTAATTTGCTTCTCGATAAATAAAGTGTGTATCTATTAGGGATGGGACAAGATCTCGTGCTACCAAATTGCCACGAGATTGTGCACACATGTGAAAAATGATCTTGTGAGATTTTAGTTTTCATGTTTTTATGTTTTGATTGAAAAAAGTGAGTACTGGTGACTTACAATTTTTGAGAATACATAGTCCCAAAAAGCAGAGCTACAACATTAGAAATATTAAATTAAGGAAATAAAAAATACTGAGTCTAAATAATGTCATCCAATTTTGTGTCTCGTCTCGTCTTGTGGAAATTGTATCTCATCCCACTCCTACTATTGATCTATATTTATAAATGTGTGTTTTTTATTATTATTTTGTCTCAGATACCTGGTGGAGAAACGTAACCCATGGATTTACAGAGGCTATTACCATCCCGCCTGGTACAAGAGAAGTCCAGATTCTGCAGCTCCTAGCAAGGTAAAAAACACTGCAATTTAAACTTCTAAATATAGAGATCATTCAGCCATTTTCTCCACTCTCTAATCTTGTAATTGTGCACAGATGGTGACAGGATTGTTAACTTATAAAACAAACCATCTGGTCCACCATTCTAATCATTTTAATCAAGATGGAGCCATAACAAGCACGCTTCACAGAACTCTTACCCCACAGGAGGCACGTGTTGAAATTAGAAATAGACCAGGACAATTCGAAGCCAAGTTTATTTAATTACCCAAGTCCAATAGTAGAATATAAAACCTGCCATTATCAAAGAGGCTTCAATGAATTTGCAGATAATATCATTGTAATGTTGGTACCTGACTGCGCATGGGACCTCACGTTGTCAATTTAAAGTGTTATGTTGATAATAGTGATAAAAACTAGCTGTGAAGAAGTTTGGAAAAATACCATTGAGTAGTATTGAAATTAGACTTTAAATATAAAGTATAAGGCCAAAAAAGTTGTTTTCATAGACTATATAAAGACCATTTTGAAGGGGGTGTGACGTCATCCATAGTGTTCAGCTCCAGTCAAATGAAGCTCATGAGGCAAGCAGTTATAGGAGTGAATTTGGAGCCAAGACCCATGAACTTACCTACGGACAAAATCGCGAAATAAAAACACAAGGATCATGTTAGAGGGGGTTAATACGAACACTTTAAGACCAAAATAACGAGGCAAACAGCAGCAGTGAAAGAGAGAGGAGACAATTTTTTAACGTAAAGTCAACTGGAACCAAAGTCGATGGAGCCAGAAGCGCCCCCATGTTTACTTCTTATGTGGAATGAATTTGGAACCAAGTCCATTTATATAAACAGTCTGTGGTAGTTTTGCACCACTGTTGCTGTATGACTGAAAACTGCCCCAAATTGTAAGATTAAGTGCTTATATGATTGAAATACTAATGCCTAACCCTTTTAAACAGTGACAGAATTCCAAGAAAGAAAAGCATCGAATGAACAAGTTTGCATTTACAATTTCACTTACGACTTACTGTGTATATAAGAAACAAATTATAAACTAAAACAAAACGAAATTTAATGCATAATTCATTCATTCCAGAGCCCTATATCTTATAAAAAACATAAAGCTTTATACTCTTTTTTCTTCTACAGCGTTAGACTTTTTAAAAATCATCACTGAGACTGTTCCATATACTAACCCGTCTAACAGAAATACGATCACTTTCTTTTTTTTCTTAATTTTTAAAGTGCCAGTTTTGTTTTCATTTATGATCGTACAAACTAATAATAATGATAAAGAAGGCACAAAATGTATCATTTATGATCGTATCAAAATAAAAGGTAATGTTAAAGAAAAGCATGTGTTTAGTAATAATTATAGTAATAGTAGTAATTGTTTACTTGTGAAATAGAAACATCTACTGAACTTGGAATCTACACCCAGTATTTTGATAATGTCAGCATAACAAGTTTTACAAAATGGCTTTAGATTACACATCATTTCAAAGAGTAAACACACTCCCTCTCTGTTTGAATTTGAGTTCTCACATTGTATATTGGAGCATATTGGCAGCCACTACTATGAGTTCTTCCAGGGGCAGCTGTGGCTAAAGATTCAGAAGTTGAAAACATTGCATTATTTTCTGATTATGTTTTGGACAGAGCCTACTTTTTCTTTGGATCACAGTGTTAAAGTTTTAGTTTTAGATTAGCACTGCTGTTGTTGTGTGAATTAATTATTAATATAGAAAAGCCCTATATAAAACAAATGCATTACTTTATAGTATACCATTAGCTTTTAAACTCTTCACAATAAGTACAACCCAAGATGATATTTTGCTTTACCACCAGATCTAAACCTTGACTATATTAGGTCTAAATTGCGGTTTAACATGGGACTAAACCAGGTCTAAAATAAAGTGGATAAGGATATTGATAATGGCACTGGCTTCTGTCACATTTATAATTATTAAAAATAGTAATCATTTTTAAAAGCTCTTTGAAATGAACAGATCCATCACTATAAGCTTAGGGGTTTTGACGCATAAAAAGACATCTTGTTACATAAATAACTGGAATTTGTTCATTCTTAGCAAGGTGGCTTCATTCAAACAGTGCTCCTTGTCGCCCTGTACTCGAGCTCTACAATGCACCATGAGTTACTGTTGTGTTATCATTATTCAGATGACCTGGTGCAGCCACATATCACGTCTTATTGCACCGCTGCACAATGCCATTTGGAAAATAATGGAAAGTGCATTGGATATGTCTGCAATGAACCTCCAGAACTGAACATGCAAATCAAAAACTACCTCTTCTTGGACAAATACATAAAGACCATATATAACGGTTTATGAGATCTGGGTTACTCTGTCTCTTAAAGGGCCCACGCTATTTTTTAATCCATTTTATCATGTTGTTTCCTCATAGTAAAAATACCTGGAGTTGTGTTTTGTTTTATTCACACATGTTTGACTAATCCTTTATTATTAGTTTGTCTACATCTCCAAAGTTCAAAATGCTCTGTTCCAGCTTGTGTTGTCATGACGCGATAGTTTTCAAGTTAGCAGCTACTATTTTATCTTTTGTTCAGCAGAGATCAGCAATTGATTCTAGTGAAGGTGTATGGAGTTTAAAAACACTGTGGAGCACTTCCTTTATTACCACAATGACATCTATCTGTTTGAGAGAAGAACCTTTATATGCAGGGTTTGTGAATAAAACACAGCACAACTCTATGTTTTGAGTAAAGATCAGACAAAATGGCATAATATGGGCCTTTGTTCTTTCTTTTCTTTTCTTCCAGGATGCGCAGATGGAAAACCTTGCAGCGATGGACTTGGAGTTACAGAAGATAGCGGGAAAGTTGCATGACAACTCTTCATAAACCCTCGGCTACATAAACATGTCTTAGTTCAGATCTAACTGTGTTTGTCCATATATTGTGCTTAGAATGGAAAAAAAAGATCATAAAAATAACATTCCTGGAGCCTTTATGTTTTGCATATATTGTATCAGTGATATTATAGATATATTCTGCATGGGAATGTTTGTATAGAGAAAATAATATATGAAAATGTCTAAGGCAATCTGTTGAAACACTGTAAATGTACAATTAAGTCCCGTTTACTTGTCTCTCAATAAAAAAATATTCGGGGACCAAATGTTACTGTAGTTTTATTTCTGTGCAAATATAATAAACAAGTGTGAATGGTAAACAAATTATGGCACAGGACAAATAAATAAACTAAAATATTTCCTAAATTAAAAAAAATATGGGCACATATTGCTTTGCCAAATGATTTCTGAGAGCAAAGCTTTTCAAAATAAGAGATCTAACACTAAGAACTATCATAGCTCGCTCACAGTCACAGCAGTAACGCTTTAGAATTGAATGTAAAATTTGAATGTAATGATGAAGTACAGTGATTCTCAAAGTGTTCAGATTAAGAAATAAACCAGGTCTAAACCAGGACTAACCCAGGATAAAACCAAGGCTAAACCAGGTCTAAACCAAGACTAAACTAGGATAAATCCAAGGCTAAATCAGGATTGAACCAGGACTAAACTAGTTCTAAACCGGGTCAAAACCAGGTCTAAACCAGGACTAACCCAGGATAAAACCAAGGCTAAACCAGGTCTAAACCAAGACTAAACCAGGATAAAAGCAAGGGTAAACCAGAGCTAAACCAGGACTAAATCAGGATTGAACCAGGACTAAACTAGTTCTAAACCGGGTCAAAACTAGCTCTAAACCAGGACTAAACCAGATCTAAACCAGCTCTAAACCAGATCTAAACCACCTCTAAACCAGGACTAAACCGGATCTAAACCAGGTCTAAACCATGACTAAACCAGGATTGAACCAAGAATAAACCAGATCTAAACCAGGACTAAACCAGGACTAAACCAGGACTAAACCAGGACTAAACCAGTCTAAATAATGACAATAGCAAAACTTGACCATCCTAAATCAGGTCAGTCAAAAATCTTTGAAAAGAAAAAAAAAAAGTATTGCAATTAAACTTGCAACATAAAAAAGCAACTAGACTAGGATGCACTGATCTGACACTGGTATCAGATATCGCCACCGATACTGAAATTTTTGGTGGATCGGATATCAATCTTGACTCAGGCGATATCTCATTTTGGTCTATAAATTGGTGTAATAGAAGATTACTGGCCAATGTTGGTAGAACAATACTCATAATAGTGTCTTTACAAAGTTGTTCTGTAGTTAGAAAATACATTTGGATCATTTTTTTACCTTATGCCGTTTGTGTTTAAAGGAAATAAATACGTTTTTAGTCTCTGCTCTGGTATTCTTTGACATCGGGTACTGGCAGATACTTGAAGCCAAAGTATCAAAATCGGTATCTGAAAAACCTGGATTAAAACCTGCATTGCTAGAGTCAATCCTGAATTTTATCATATATCATAAACTAACACCAGAATACCATGAATTTGAGAACATGCTCGTTTCAACTGTTGTTATTGTGACAGTCCTTCTAGTACATGTCCGACAGTTTGAGAACCACTGTACTCGAGTTATACATCTGATGTATTCAAACCAGACAGTCTTCCCTCTTATTTATTCCTGTCAAGTCAATTCAACATCCCAGGCACAGGAGCCAGTGGAGCCCTTAGACCAATCTCCCACTCATGCGTCAGTGTCCGTGCTTTTCACTCTCTTTGCTGCAGGCTCCTCTTCAGCTGCTTTAGACTTGCCTGGTTTAGTTTGCACTGGTTTAGACTGGCCCGGATTGGATTGGCCAGAAGCAACTGTCGTCCCTGAGAGAAGATAGCCGCCGCCTCCACTCATGAGCAGCACGGGATGGGTCCGATTGGGCAACACCTGGAAAAAATATAAGATGAGATGAGAATTAGGGTTGAATGGGAAAAAAAATATAACTGCAATATGTTTATGTAATGTGTATATCTAAGTGAATGCTCAATAAAAAAAAAAAACACTTCGGAAAAAAAATAGGGCTGAATGGTATGGGAAAAATTGCGATAATTGCATATTTTTTTGACAAGCTTTGCAAAGATGATTAGACTTACAATTTACATTTTAATAATAGGATTTTGCTCAAAGTTCAGATAGAAAAAAGGACCATATTTAGCTATTTTCTGATACATGTTGTTTCCTCATCACAAACATACCTGGAGTCTATTTATTTATTTATTTATTTAATGAGACAGGGACAGCGCACAATTTTTACATTAACCTAGTTGTGTTTTGTTTCATTCACACACACATCAACACACACACTCTCTATATTTAGGCTGTTTTCTTCTCTCAAACTGAAAACACTCTGTTCCACCTTGTGTTTTGAAACTCCACACACCTTAATTACAATCGTTTGGATAATTTCAGCCATGAAACTGCCAATCTCTATTAAACAAAATGTAAAATGTAGCTATTAATTTAAAGACTAACGCTTCATGACTTCACATGGTGGAACAGAGCGTTTTGAGCTTTGGAGATGTAGACGGACTAATAATAAAGGATTATTCAAACGTGTGAATGAAACAAAACACAACTCCAGGTATGTTTTTGATGATAGTATTATAACATGGCTTAAAGCTCACAAGAGTCAAATTTGTGTAATAGAGGCCCTTTAAACATGTCCTGGAGAATTGACAAAGACTGAAATATGAACTGACAAACTAAAACAAGAATCACTTTTCAGGAGATTTAGTTTGTAGAGGAAATTATGGTACTTCAAAAAAACTGCAGCCTTGGGCATAGTAAACATAAAAATCCAAATAAGAAAAATCTGGGTTTTGTTACAAGTAAATGTTTTCTGCTTTGCAAGACAGCTTCTAGTGATGTGATGCAAAACGAAAAATACAAAATAAAAAGGAGCAAACACAAAGATTTTGCAATAAACTACAGAAGATAAAAATAAAGGGAATATAGTGTTTCATATTTTTATTGACTTGAAAACAGTAATGTTCTTTGGTGCTGAATGTGGTTTTGAAAAGATAAAAAAGATCTGAAAGTCTAATAAAACTGGAGTAACTTAAGAACTCTACTTGAAATAGGCATTATATTCCCTGTTCCTGGATATGCGCCCGTGTGTTGGAGCCAAGGCAGGATTAGAAAACTGATTAAAACATTTTGAATTTGTAGCTGTGAAACCATGTGAGTTTAAGTTGAAAGCATCTAGGAAAAGTAAGATATAAGACAACTGTTACCTGAGCAAGGTGTTTAAAAATATATAACTTTTAAAACGACCTGCATTTCTATGTAAAAAATATACATGAAAGATAAATAAAAGTGCTTTGAAAATACAATAGTAGTAATTTAAGAAATCTACCATATTTTACGGGTTATTAGGCGCTCTGGATTATAAAACACACTATCATTAAATGGTCTATTTTCTAACTTTTTCACAAATAAACCACACTGGACTTTAAACGAAACACAACAGTTGGATGGGTCAGTGGGACTTTGTTTGGCACGTTCACGGTGACTCTGGGCATTGTTCAGTTGTGGCATGTAGGGAGGGTGCTGTCTGGGACCGCTGGATTGTCGGCGTGTTCGCAGTGACTCAGTTGTTCAGTTGTGTCTAGAAGTGGCACATTGTACTCGCTTTTTTGGTTCGTTCCTCCGTTCTGTTCCTCGTCGGCGTTGAGTGATGAGTGTTGCTGCGGGTGTTTTTCGCCGCGCGGTCGCTATCTGCTCCGTGTGTGTTTGCGTGCGCTGCGGGTGGTGCGGCTTGGTAGTTTACTGAAGTCGTGCTGGGACACCCGAGTGGATTCATGTATAGGGCGCTCTGGCTTGCAATCCTTTTTTGATGGGGTTAGATGCTTAAGAGCGCGTCTAATAGCCCAGAAAATACGGTACTTTACATAGGCAATGCTTCCTTCTTTATGGATGGGCACGCTTTGTTTTAGATGCAAACCAGCATTTAAGTAAAACAAATGAAAAAAACAAAATCTTTCAAATATCTAAAACCAAATTGTTATTAAATATTACAAAGTTTGAACATTTATAGTTCCAACACATGGTAATTTAAAGCAAACCTATTATGTAAAATTAACTTTTCAGAGCTTTTAAGTATGTTATACATGTTCCTCCTTCTCATTTACCCTCTGGAAGGTGCATGTTTGAGTAATTTTTTTATTGCCTATTTTCAATATGGCATTTTGCTGATAACCACTGTTTTCAACATCACCGTTACACACCCACTGCTCTGAACATTGTTCTCCAATTTTATTTTCTGAATCTGCGATTTGTCTGCGTATAGTGTAATCATTTTGGTACAAAGTAAATAAAATGTGTGGCTCTCTAGTGTGATATGCAGCTATTCATTGGCAGTACCAACAGCTGCACAGTGCTTTGTTGTGATGACATTTATGGTGATGTCTGGTCCCATTGGGCACTGTTATTTTCTAAAGCAAAATTTTGTGGACTTGTTTCTTTATTAAGTCGTTTTGAATGAATATTATAATTTGCATGTTTTCAAAGCTTCAAGAAAACTTCAAAAATTGCAACTAGTGATCCACTGGTGATATATAATTATATAGCAGACACCAACACAATAGGTCTTCTTTAAGTCAAATACATGTAGGAATAGTAGGATATATGAATAATAAAAACAACATTTACCTGATAGTGTCGGAGCCAGGTGTTTGTGAGCTGGAGGTTGACAGTTCCTCCTTGTTCCTTGAGTTTAGTGTAGCACTCGACCAGCGGCTGCAGAGGGAACAGCTCATTATGAGAGATGCAGAGTCAACACAGAGACAATCAAGCTGCCATTTTAGAATCTAAATCACACATAAAACTAGGCCTGTCACAAAAAGACATTTTGAAGCATGATATATGGCTACAGATAAATATTGTGATAAACAATAATACTGAAACTATTTTATGCAAAGTACACAATTAAAGGCCCTATATTTCTCAAAAACTGACAGCTTTAAACCATATGAGAATGTTGTTACCTCATCAAAAACCTTCTGTTTCATCCACAAATGTTTGAGTAATCCTGCATTATTAGTCTACTAGGGTTGGGCGGTAATACGGTATTAGGGTATCCCGCGGTATCAAAAAGTAGCAACGATATCAGTTTCATTACCGTCATAAAAAAAATCTGCAGTGCATAAGGACCTGATATAATGTTATAATTTACTGATCCCTACATTTGTTTGCTCAGCACAAATGAATGTGTGGTTGTAGTTTCAATTTAATGTTATCACAATTTAAAACTAATAGTGTCTATAATGTTTCTTTTAACCACGTGGGGAGATGACGTTCGATTAGTTTCGTGCCACTGTCACGTGATGCTCATAACGAGACCAAAACAAGATGTCAAATTCGGCCGCAAGCGAGTTTATACCAAAAAAAACAAACTAGTACTTCTACTATTTGCAGCATTTTGGATTCAGGCGCAGATTTGTTTACATTTTACAGAAACGAAACTTAAAACCACATGGTTCATTTGCATAAACTATAAGCGCTCTTTGTGTCACTGATGCGGTTCAGCTTCTGTTGGACTAAAGGACACGACTCAGTGGAATATGTGTATTCTTTCTGTGACAGAGGATGTGCTTCTGACGGTGAGTCTGTTCTGTGTGTGTATCGTGTTGGAGATGGTTTATGTGAAACTTTTCAGAGATTATAAGTCTGAAGGGCATAGCTCGTACAGCGGTGCGGCTTTGTATCTTACTAAAGTCGTACTAAAACATTTTGGTAATACAGTAATACCATATACCCCGGGAAAATCCTGAGAAGGTTTAACAGTATAAAAATTTGGATACTATCCAACCCTACTGTCTACATTTCTACAAGCCCAAAATAGTCTGTTCAACCTTTTGATATTATGAAGAACTAATTTCAAACATCTGCCTTTTACTTTAAAATTTGTAGAGAGTGGGAATTCCACAGCTGAAATGATCCAAATGATTCTAGTGAAGGTGGAGTTTAAAGGTGGAGTTTAAAAACACAGTGGAGCACTTCCTGTATTACCACATGACATCACAAGGTGGAACAGAAAGAGAGAGAGAGATGAACTCAGCCTAAATTTGCAGGGTTTGTGTGTTAAACGTGTGAATGAAACAAAACACAATAAACAACAAAAGCAACTTTATGGGGACAAGATGTGGTGGAGCTTTCACTTAAACAGTTACACAGTGTATCTTTAAAATGTAAAATAGGAAACCACAAAGCTAAGATATGCTAAGTATTTACAAGGGTAGAATTATCATTGACAGTGACACGAATGGTGCAGTATAGATGGAGATATCCCAGTGGAGCTGTAAGCTATAAAAGCCACTGCAGCTAATGAGAGATGCCCTGAGTCGACAGTAACTAAGCGCTCTAATACTGTTGTTATTGTTCCAGTAAATTACAGCTCTGGTCTCACCTCTTTGTATTGGGAGTACACCACAAAAGGCCTGGAGGGGGCGAGGAGAGGGAGCAGGCCCATCAGAACAGGACATGGGTGAAATCGACTGGCAATGACCAACCTGCGCACAAGACAAAGAGACGATCAAAGAAACAGTCGCTAGAGGGCGATAGATGCAATTATCAACAGTACGGTGAGTGTTGTGTTGTGAATTGATATGGTGCGAGTGAGATCCAGAAGTCATTATCAGTCTGAGGGGCGAGATTTCGATTTCAAACACATTGTTCAGTTGGCTACTTTTGAAACCAGCTACTATGGATCATTACTGGACAAATGACAGATTATGCAGATTTAAAGAGCCTGTTTTGCACTGTTTTCTGATCTATGTTATAATGTTGTTTCCTCATCACAAACAGACCTAGAGTTATGTTTTGTCTAACACACAAACCCTGCTTATTTAGGCTGAGGTCTTCTCTCAAACTGAAAACACTGTCTTCCACCTTCAGATGACATCATAACACTCTATTGGCCAATATTATTTAATACAGATTGGGGACAGCTAAAATTTTATTGTTAAAATGTACAATGATGTTGTAATAAGTGAGTTCTAGGGCTTAGTTAGTGATAGAAAATACCAGGTTCAACATTTATGAATTTACCTTTTGAATATTTCATGACAAAGTACAATGTAATCAACAGGGAAAATAGTCCCTTGCCCCCCATCTGAGCCTATGACATTATTAAAACCACCAATACATGCATCACAATTTTGGACTTCCGGTCATCGCGCAATGCATACTGGGAAGGATCTTCCGAAAAAGTGAGCATCAAACTGCCATGTTTGATTTCCCAGTGGGATGTGTCTATTGTCAAAGTCGATCTTTTCAAGTCTTTTGAACCATATCGCTTTTGTTTCTGGTTCTGATATTGTCATATTTTAGTTATGGGATGCGGACATCATAATTGTGTGGTTGTTAGATGTCCTAACAGCGGAAAATGGGCTTTCGGAAATTTGCGAACTCCATAACTGCAAAAGGGGAATCAGATCTGTGTGACTGCAAACCTTCATTCAAATTGTTTCCCTTCCCAATGGAATAGAAAAATAGTGAAAGGCGAAGGCGATGGGCAATATTGATGCATGGGAAGGACGAAAAAGAAAACCTTTGGCTGCCAAAGAAATCATCCAAAGTTTGCAGCGAACATTTTGTATGAGGAGTGCCATCAAAGACCGGACCGATGACTGGAAGTCCGAAATTCGTGATGCATGTATACATGAAGTGTTCCACTGTGTTTTTAAACCCCATACACCTTCACTAGGATCATTTGGATTATTTCAGACCTGGAATTGCCCATCTCTGCTAAACTAAAGGTAAAAGGTAGCTTTTAACTTGAAAACTACTGCTTCATGAAATCACAAGGTGTAGACAGACTAACAATAAAGGATTGGAGCACTTCCTGTATTGCCACATGACATCACAAGGTAGAAGGGAGTGTTTTTAGTTTGAGAGGAGAACTCAGCCAAAATATGCAGGGTTTGTGTGCAATAAAACATGTAAATAAAAACAAAACACAACTCCAGGCGTGTTTGTGATGAAAAACATAATTATAACATAGATCAGAAAATGGTATAATATGGGACTTTAAAAATTATTAGCTAGTAGCATTATTGGGAAACCCCCTTCTCTGTTCTGCCCACCCTTACCTTACCTGACATAACACAGCACGACACAAAACATAACATATACGGTCAACATCGTCTTTATTTTTGGAAATGGCTGGTCTGCACTATTGGACAGTCTAATGTATGGTGTGTGAGTGATTCTGAGAGGTGCACAGATTTAAGGCCTCTTCTTGAGATTAATCCCTTGTTTTATGTTGCTGAATGAGAGTTCATAAAATTGCTTGATTTACGGCGCCCTGGGAAATTGCGTTACGCTGGTGCTCTTTATGGGAGGTGTGCTATCATGCAGAGGAAGTCAATATACAGCGCTGGCTTTGGAGGCCTTTGTCCATCCATCAGAATATTGCAATATGAAGCAGGTATTTCATTTCATTTGACGTAGAAGTGCAAAGGCATCACTTTCTTGTCCTTGTAAGGGCACTAAACATCATGTCAGACTGCAGCGACAAAGGGATGATATAAGGTTGGTACTAGATAGTATGCTCCAAAGGGACAGTTGGCTGTGATTGGTCATTAAAAGACAATGATAATATAATTTTTGTTGTCCATTTATTTATTTAATGCTGCAGATATTAATACATAATAGATTTTTAAACTGCTTTTAAACTGCTAATTTCATCTGCTCGTCTCGATGGAAATGTTACTGTTTTGTCTGAAATGTTCCGGTATGGCATTAAACATATTCATCTTACATTTACTCAATAACACTGTTTTTTATTGCCCTAAAACTTGCATTCTTACTGTAAGTGCGCGTGCCTATCCACTGATCTGACATGTAACTTGGCCCTTTGGTTACACCTGCTGTCTCTGTAGAGATAAACAAGCGTAAAGCCATACTGTGGAACATTCCTGGCAATATGACCATGGAGAAAAGCAGGTGAAGGACCCTCCACCAGAAAAGTTACAAAGTCCTCCTTTAACACTTAGACAGTGTAGTGCAAGAACCCTTTAAAATGAAATGCTGCACTTATTTAAGAACAGTATATGATGTTGCCTTTCTGTTTAGTGCAGGACAAGCCTGACCTGGGACAGAAGCTGAAAATTACTTTGTCTTTGTCAAATAAATGAATACCGTATTTTTCGCACTATCAGCCACACCTGAATATAAGCCGCAGGTGTCCACGTCTTCAAGAACGTTTTCAAGTTTGGGTCGTCTGCTTTTATCGCCTCTGAAAGATTTTGTCATCTTTTTGCATTGAGTCAGTTCGTCACGCTGCTGTCGCCAAAATCTCACCATCGACTCACTGATGCCGAGCTCACGGGCAGCAGCTCTGTTTCCTTATTCCACAGCCACATCAATTGCAGTTAACTTAAAAGCTGCACCATCTGCATTTCTTTGTATGTTTTCCATGAGGAGGGTGTGTGTATGAAGTACAAAATAACTGTTTAAAACACAATCAAACAAGAATCTTCCTTGGCGCATCACCCCCCATCTCTCCCTGTGCTCTACTGCGCATGTCTCCTGCAGAAAGAGCCTCTGTCTTGTCTGTATCATGTCAGTGTCTTGGAGGATTGCAGCAGATTTCAGACTCTCTCGGGAGCGGGGCTAGTTGTGTTGATCAGGTATCAGTGGATGTTCGGTTACTGAAGTTTTGAGACGTTTATTCTTGTCTTTTACACAAACAGGTAAGATGTATCCCCCTCACTAATGTTCATTTAGAATCATAACTAATTTTATCATACGGCGATAAACTATTTGAGTGCGCTGACAATATCACGAGCTAGTGTAGCAACTTCATGTTAACACTAGATACATGTGTAAACCGCACAGACAGCGGCGTTTTCTGCACTCAGGCTGCGCATATCTGCTGTGTTGCCAAACCACAGAGCGTATAAATGAATGGACAATGTGCCAAACTAAGAATCCGTCCATATATTAGCCACATTGTTTTATTAGCCACAGGGTTCAAAGTGTGAGAAAAAAGTAGTGGCGTATAGTCCGGGATTTATGGTAAATACAAATGTGACAATGTCTGAGTGTGAGGCCAGTCCAGTGTCTAAAGTTGAGACTCACCCATCGGCGTTCCTCCCCTCCAGCACCGCAGCAGCAGCAGCCAGTTTCTTTCGCTTCTCGTCTAGTCTCTGCTTCTTCTCCTGCTCCTTAGATTCAAAACAAGAGCAAAATAAACATGTTTTCCCTTGTACAAACATTTCAACAGAGCAATTTGAGCTTTGGAAATGTAATAAAGAATTACTCAAACATGTGTGAAGGAAACAAAACACAACTGGAGATATGTTTTTGAGGATGTAACAACATTCTCACACATGGATTAAAGCTGACAACAGTCAATTTTGAGTAATATAGGACATTTAATTGTGTCAGTGGCATAAAGTAGTTACAATATTATAGTTTATCACAATAATATGCTTCAAAATGTATGATCGGACAGGACTAGTTCTACGTATGTTCAGCTACTAAAACATTATAACATATATTGACGCTCAAAAGAGTCAATTCTGTGTAATATAGACTCTTTAAAGGGTAAAGCAAAGGGTAATAAAATGGTCATGAAGCCTTCTTGTGTGTACAGTGTAGTTATGTAGTTACTTTAGCTTCCTTCCGCTTCTCCTTCTCCCTCTCCTCTGGTTCCTCTGGCTCTGGCCTCTCAGTCACATCAGCACTTGTCTCCATCCTGAGCTCCTCTGGACTGCCCTGCTGTTCTGCTTCAGGTTCCCTCTGCTCTTCCTCCACATTAGCAGCTTGCTCATCTGTACAGAGAGAAGCAAAAACACAAGAACTTCACTTGGCATTTACATTCTAGACACAAATACTGCCTTTAGTCATCACCACCAACTGGCTCATGCCGTACCCCCCAACACTAGAACAATAGGCTCAAAGATGTGGATTGAAATGTCTGAAATATGTTAATGGGTGTGTGATTTGTCAAGGATTGGTTTTAATAAAAGTTAAAAAAACAAAAAAAACAAAAAAACAAATACTGCATTTATCCAAAGCATAAATGCACAGACTTGGTACTTTTAATTTTGTATAATCTATGCCATACAATAGGTTGCGTTCTGTTCTAAAATTTAATAATGTCATAATTTCACAGGGAGGGAATGAGCCTTTGTACTTCTATATTCACTCTTTATGAAGGAACTAACTAAATGTATGCACAGATCCACAAATACAGAATATAAAGATTATTAGTTAGCGATTGGCTCCACAAACTTTCATATTAAAAAAAGAAACTGTGTATATTAAATAAACAAGTTTACTTTCTCTGAACAAACAAAAACTGTAGCACTGTCACGAAATAATTACTATTCTTGGTGATATATCGATACAGTATCATTATCATGGGCAGGCTGTATCACCAAATTAAGTATCACGATATACTGGTATTTCGATATTTTAGCACAGCCCCATTGAAAACTGTGAAAGGTAAACTACCAGAAGTTTGGACTGACCCTCTCGTTCAATGTTTTTTTTTTTTGTAGTATATTTTTACTATGTTCTACATTTTATATACATACAGAAGACATCAAATATATGAAGCAAGATATACGGAACTATGTAGTAAAGAAATAAAGTAAAATAACTCTACTAAATAATATTTGACAAAGCAAAAGTGACAAATTTGAGGATTTAGTCGTAAAATATGTGTCTCTTCTGTGTGTATATAAAATGTAGAACATAGTAAAAATATACTACAAAAAAAACAAACACTGAATGAGAATTGAATGAGAGGATGAGTCCAAACTTTTGACAGGAAGTGTGTAATACAAAAATATCACTGTGTTAATGGTGCATTATGTAACTTTTCTGGTGGAGGGTCCGTCAAATGCTTTCCTCCATGAGATGTTATTCCTTTGTCTGGAATGTTTCACAGTATGGCATTACACCTTTCTATCTTCATGGAGACCTGTGGAGAGGCAACCCTGCTCATCGTCAGAATGTCTGTTTTTCTAGGTATTTCTGAGCTATACAAAACACCTGTAACTGAATAACTATAAAGAAGAGGAGTTTAATGTCATACTATGGAACATTCCAGGCAGAGTCGTAACATATCCATAGAAGTGAGCAGGCGACGGATGACCAACAAGAAAGTTACGTAGTGCACCTTAATTATAGAGAAAAGATAACTTGGTAGGACTGGGACAAGATCTCGTGCCACAAGTTTAGTTATTATCTCTTACAATTCCAAGCAATACTAGAATGTAAACAAAAATATTACATAAAATAAATAAATTATGAGGCCAAAATCTCGTCATGTCTCTTTCTTGTGGACCCAGTCCCGTATCTTGTCTCATCTCTAAAACTTGGACAATTATTCTCTCACCAGCGCTTGGGTCTTTGCCTGCAGCCTCCAGAGTCCCATTGAGCAGAGCGTTCACTCGGCAGAGGGGAAACTCATGCAGTGTGTTGTGGAAATGAGCGGGGAAGCCAAAACTGTCGACCCCCGCGCGAACAGGCCCTCCCCCTGGGTACATCTGAACCACTGAGCCGAAGCCTGGATCAGAGTAATACAGCTGTCAGGCAAAGGGCACTGCAAAGACTTTCAAATACTTTCAGAGACTGCTTTGTTGACATTTTACAACTTAACTTCAAGGGCCCACTATTTTCTGATCTGTGTTATGTTTCCTCATTACAAACATACTTGGTGTCGTATTGTGTTTGATTCACACACAAATTCTGCATATTTAGACTTTGTTCTTCTCTTCCACCTTTTCCATTGTGTTTTTAAACTCCATACACCTTTACTAGAATCATTTGGATGATTTCAGCCCTGGAACTGCTATTCTCTACCGAACTAAAGGTAAAAGATAGCTGTACCACTACATCACACAATTTGACATTAACAGCTACTTTTTCTGCTTGATTGAAGAAAAAAGCCTAAATATGCAGGATTTGTGTGTTAAACTAACTTGTGTGAAGGAAACAAAGATCAACTCCAGGTATGTTTATGATGAGGAAACAACATTATAACATAGATCAGAAAATAGCTTAATATGAGCCCTTTAACATGTATTGATTAAAAAAAATCAACAGTTCAGGTATACTTTTAAGGTCAATCAACATTAAAATATAGTAAGCTTGACACAGGAAAAACATCAGTAAACCATACCTCCCATCCTCTCCATAACAGCTCCCAGAACTAAACCAGCACAAGTTTCAAACACCACAACTTTGCTTCCAGCGTGAATGTTCGCCAGTGTCAACATCTGGGCCAGTGTGTCGTATCGAAGGTGACTGCAATAAAACACACATATTCATACCACATCTGCTTTCACTATAATTCTACAATATTGAAAATGACATTGCTGAAGTGACTGACCAGATCTTTCCAGGTTCTCTGCCATGGTACATCATAGCTAAGATGCGACAAGAGGGTTTTAAAAGAGTCACACTGTTTTCATATCTGTAGAAAAGAAATAAGAGGAATTAGAAATACATATGTAACGCTTCTGTGAGAGATTTTCTTTTGTTAACAGTACACATAAAATGACAATATACTGGTGGTACAGAACAATACATCTAACTTACTTCTTCTTTTTCTTCTTGATGTACTTGTCTTGTGCATATTCAGTCTTGTCCTTGAAAGTGGAGCTGTTGTCTATAAGCTGCTGGATGATCTCCTAGTAATAATATCAACCAAAATGGTATATTAGCCAACTTGCATTTTAGTTCTTAGTTTAGAAGTTTAGTTTTAATTCATAATCACAAATGAACAATTCAAATGTTCAAATATATATAGAAATGTACCTGTCCCTTTAGTCCTTTCTCCTTGAGCATCTCTATATCATCCCTGGTCAGCTTCTGTGATTTTCCATCATCTACAATATTTCTGTTATCGACACCTGCCACCTCCTTTGAATCTGAAAACAACACACAACACAAATGTAAAAAAAAACAATAAAACAAAACAGTAATACAGGAAGAGTTGCAGTGCATTTTAAACACCATAAATCCTCACTAGAATCATTCGGATAATTTCAGCTGTGGAATTTCAAATCTCTACTAAGCCAACGGAAAAAGGAAATGTTAACTTGAAAACTACCGCTTCATGACATCACAAGGTGGAGCAGAGTATTTTGAGCTTTGAAAATGTAGACATACTAATAATAAAGGGTTACAAAACATAACATATAATGAATGAATGAAAAAAAGTTATCTCCTCAAAAAGTATTTTTTGAGTAGGTAACATTCTTGAGGCTCACTCCAGTTAATTTTACGTAATATATAAGACCTTTAACAATAGATTATTACAAATCTACTCACAGTTGTAATGCTTACCAGAAAAATCATAATTCGTTAGACATTTTCTAAAATCAACCACCGCAACATACCAGCTGAGCTCCCTGTATCACTTGTCTTCTTTAGCTGGAGGTGTCCACCATGGATCTCAAAAGTGGAGTTGTACAAATGTCCCACAGCATTTTCAAGAAAGAACCACTGCTTCTCAAAGATCACCTTCCTGTAAGTGCACAATCATCAGGTTACATTAATTTGATTGAGAGACAATTTTGAGTCCTGTCTTCCTATTCTAAAGAACAGAAAAACAAGGCAAACACTTGGAAATTGTGTGCATTAATATAACCAAGTAAAGCAGTCAAAGGATGTGTGATTTTAGTTATAAATTAAATAGTCCTGGAAAAAATCTTGACTTGAAGATTAACATCATTTGTTAAAATATGTGATACCTGGGAGTTTTTACACAATATAGTCTGGGATGTTTGACTGTCAAAGGTGAACTATGCAACTGCCACCTGCTTGTCTCCATGGAAATGTTATTGCTTTGCCTGAAATGTCCCATGGCATGACTTTAAAAAGATCCAGTCATTTTATTCTATTATTATGTTTCCATTTCTCAAAAATACAATAATTCCTTCTGTGAATAAGGGTGACTCTCCACAGATCTGAACTGTAATGTAGTGTAGTGTTGTAACCTGCTTGTCTCGTGATAGAGAGGTTTAATCTATAGTGTGGATTTCCATGGAGACAAGCAGGTGGCGGACCCTCCAGTAGAAATGTTACGCAATGCACATTTAACTAACAAAATAATTTTTTATCTCAACTTTTCTAACCATCTGACTTGAAAAAGCTGGCTAATACTAAACTAAACAAACAATACTTCTAAGAATAGCTGAAGGCATAATAATGCAAAATCAGAGTAGCCAGTTAAAGATATTTTTTGTGGCGGTGAGACTTACTTTTTTGCTACGATTTGAGCAGCTTTGAAGATATCTCCTCTCTTTAGCACTACGTAGTCCCCTTCTTTCATTCTGTACTGGGAGTCATCGTCCCCGTTGTCTGCCATAATACAGCAGCTTTTCAAAGTAAAAAATAAAGGAGAACGTAAATAAATGTGTATCAAGTAAGGCACGATGAAAAAAGGCACTGTTAAGCCCTGAAATTAAAGGAAAACACAAGCTGCAACTACTTCCACGTGTTAGCCATCACTTCCGTAGCAACACAGGACGGCTAAACGATCGCAGATACACTGAAGGTAGACCAAACAAGCGGATTATCGCTAAAAAGAAAGCTCGTTTATTTTGGACGAAATTTGAAGCACGTTTTCATGTATTTATTTATTTATTTATTTATTGCTCATGCCATTTCATTTAAAGAGAAAGAAAAAAAATCGGATAGTTAACATAAATACATTATGGCATGAACAAAACATAGGAAGAAGATATATATTTGAGATGATAATAGCAGCATATATATATATATATATATATATATATATATATATATATATATATATATATATATATATATATATATATATATATATATATATATATATATATATATATATATATATATATATAATAAAAAATAAAGAGTGATTACACTTGCCGGTGTAATCACTCTTTCAGGTATTGTAATTATTAGATATTCCCAATACCAGTAACTAGATCTTCTGAAATATTGTCAGCCTGTATGGAGAAAAATGTGAAAAATAGTCTATAGTAAATTCAGGTTTTTCACACCTCAGTGAGAGCTTGCAATTTGCTTAGATTATAACAGATACAGTAAAAGCGATAGCTCTGCAGGCATTGGGGCAGACAAAGACAATCGTGCTAACTGGAGATTACTGGACGTCCCTAAGTAATGAGAGCTATCTTGGGGTCACAACACATTATTTCACAGTGAGAACTTCAGTCACTTTGATTGTTACGAAGACAGAAGAGAGGCACTTCACTGCCACTGTTGCAGAGCACTTCATGAAAGCGTAATATGAGAGTGGAACATCGAACACAAAGTTGTCTCACTGATAATTGTTATGGTTTGCAATAAAAAGACATTTGCACAAAGCAACCCTTTACACTTTTCTATGTTGATAAGAGTTAAAATGATGATTTAAGGGACAAAAATGTGCAATTAATTGTGAGTTAACTATGATATTCATGAGATTAATCGCAATTAAATATTTAATTGATTCATTTTAGATTCCCATCCATCCATTTTCTTCAGCTTATCTGGGGCTGGGTTGTGGGGGCAGCAGTCTAAGCAGGGACTCCCAGACTTCCTTCACCCCAGACACGTCCTCCAGCTCCTCCGGGGGAATCCCGAGGCGTTCTCAGGCCAGCCGAGAGACATAGTCCCTCCAGCGTGTCCTGGGTCTTCCCCAGGGCCTCCTTCCAGTGGGACATGCCTGGAACACCTCCAGAGGGAGGCGCCCAGGAGGCATCCGGAACAGATGCCCGAGCCACCTCAGCTGGCTCCCCTCGACGTGGAGGAGCAGCGGCTCTACTCTGAGCTCCTCCCATGTGACTGAGCTCCTCACCCTATCTCTAAGGGAGCACCCAGCCACCCTCATTTTAGATTTGTATTTGCAAAATGCTAATTTCTAAGTAGCCTATAACAAAACAGATAAAAGCAGGGGTAGGACGAATTAAGACAAAAACAAGAAGTATAATTAAAAACAAGTTATAAAAACACTTTAATGTTTGCACCAAAAAAAGTCTTCACAAAATGTCAGCAATGCATGAAGTGAGAGACGTATTTACATTAGTCCTGTTAGAAAAAATGACATTAACACTGGTATAAAATTCAAATAAAAGCAACAATTGGAGTTCATGATTGCAGGAAATGAAATGCTTTTGGACTTTGACTTAGGGCAGATGTTGATCTGTTGGTAGAAGTTGGCAGTTCAATACCCACTAGCAATGTGTTCTGTTATAGCAAGACACTTCACCCACCTTGCTGTATAAATCTGCTACTGTGACTGCGTGATGGTTTAGCTGGTGAAAAGTGAATGAAGAATGCACCAAAATGTAAAGTGACATTGTCTATAAAAAATATTATGAGTAGGGATGGGACAAGACACAAGATTGGGTCCGTGAGAAAAAACAAAACAAAACATAAAACAAGATTTGATAACTTAAAATGAATAAATTTTGTGGTTCAGTACAATTCTGGCTTCACTATTTTTGCTTGACTTATAACTAATACTTCTCAAGCGATGTAACACACTCGCCACCAATTCACCCTTTTTTTTTTAATCCAATTCAAATGTAAACGCATAAAAATAAAAATCTCACAAGATAATTTTGTCATATATGTACACTGTGGCACTTCAGTCTTGCGAGTGTGGTCTTGTGCCTCAAAATTAGCATTAGCATTAGCACTGAGACACACAATTCTGTCTTTCTAAACACTGAAGTGTCCTCTGCTGCAGTATTCATTTCATTTGTGTACTTTTTAACAGGTTGTCAGTGACATCCACCCAGCTCCATGTTCACTGCTTTATCTTTAAATATTTATTCATTTTAGCTTGACTCAGCAAAAACCTCAAACCTGGACAGGAAGTAGTGACGCTAACAGTGATGTTTCTGGACGCTATTGGGCACAGAGGCTAATATAAAACTAATGCATTTCTATTATACATGCATTTTGAGCCACAGTGGCATCAGCTCAGACAGAAGTTAGGCTGTGTCTCCTCATTCTTGACCCCCAGTGAGTTTATGGAACAGTTCTTCGTCTAGAGTTTCATTCTGGTCTTTGGATCGTGTGGAGAGGAAATATATCCTCCGATGAACTCATGGACCACTTTGCAGTCGCAGCTCACACAGCAAAACGCTATCGACACATTCTGGTCAAATTCTATGGTCACCTGTAACAACACATGCATAAATAAGTTAGCATTAGATAGTTTATTTACTTTACAGCCATAATTGGCCATAATTGGCTAAAGTGTGAACCATAAACCGTATATATAAATACATGCATCCCAAATTTCGACCAAATCTGATCTTTTCAAGTCTTTTGAACCATATCACTTTTGTTTCTGATTCTGATACTGTCATATTTTAATTATGGGATTCAGACGTCGTAATTGTGTAGTTACTGGATATCCTAACAGCGGAAAACAGCTTGAGAAATGGACTTCGGAAGTTTGCAAACTCCATAACTGTAAAAGGGAATCAAATCTGTGTGACTGCAAATCTCTATTCAGTTTCCCTTCCCGAAGAATTGAAAAATTTTGTATGTGGAGCACCATCAAAGCAAAATCCTGATCCCTCGATCAACCTTGGTTACAAATTTAAAAAGTCAACGGCAAAGCAAAAGGCACCAGCTGTTCGCCTAGAAACACCTTCCACTATAAAGCGACCAAGACGTAATGTTGCTGTAAAGTCAGTTGAACAAGAAAGTGCGAGCTCAGCCTGTTTGTCTTCTGCACCTCTCACTTAACAAACGGGATTTTGCTTTGATGTCGCTCCACATACAAAATGTTCGCTTGCAAACTCGGGATGATTTCTTAGGCAGTCAGAGGCTTAGTTTTTCATCCTTCCTGTGTATCAATCCTGCCCATCGCCTTCACCTTTCACTATTTTTCAATTCCATTGGGAAGGGAAACAGTTTGAACAGAGGTATGCAGTCACACACATCTGATTCCCTTTTGCAGTTATGAAGTTCGCAAACTTCAGAAGCTCCTTTTCCGCTGTTAGGACATCCAACAACCACACAATTACGATGTCCAAATCCCATGAATTAAAATATGACAATATCACAATCAGAAACAAAAGCGATACAGTTCAAATGACGAGAAAAGATTGGCTCTGACAATAGACGCATCCCAATGTGAAATCAAACATGGCGGTTTGATGCTCACTTTTTCGGAGGATCCTTCCCAATATGCATTGCGTGATGACCGGAAGTCCGAAATTCGGGATGCATGTATAGACAGAGCTAACCTGCAAGTCGCCATGTTTCAAATAGGAAGTGAGCAAGGGGGCACTTCTGGCTCCATCGACTCTGGCTCACATTGACTTTACATTGAAAAATTGGGAGCCTCGTCATTTGGTCTTAAAATGTTTGTATTAACCTGCTCCACATGATCCTGGTGTTTTTATTTCGCAATTTTGTCTATAAATAAATTCCTATTCCTAATATGGACCTGGCTCCAAATTAACCCTATAACTGCCAGCCCTGATGAGCTTCATTTGACTGCTATGGATTATGTCACACTCCTTTAGTCCACGTCTTTATACAGTGTATGGTTTGTACACTGAAATTGTATTCTGTGTTTGCTTTTAACATAGTATTACAGACTATAATTTATTACAGGAAATGACTTGATTAAATGTAACTGAGTATAGTCGCAGTAAAGGACTCATTAGTACCTATATTTACATGTTTTGCAAATTTGTTCTCTGCATTTGCCCCAATCCATTAAATGCCATTAGGGCAACTCATCAGGAACAGTGGGTGAAGACAATGCAGTCTCTGTGGTCCCACCTCCAGATATTGAGCAAGGCTTGGTCAGGACTTTACTTGGTTCGATATTATAGTTTTAATAAAGTTAGTTTGTAATATCGATCTAGAATGACACCAGTTTAAATTTTTTATGCAGGGGAATAACTTTCAGATGAGTTTTAGCCAATGAGCGAAACCACATTATGCTAATCCAAACTATATAGATTTCTCTGAATTATATGTTGATATCTTTTTAGAAATTATCTATAATAAAGTTTTATTAAAGTTTTTGTTGGAAAATCTACACTCTGGTCTGTACCAAAAGTTGTGCAGACTCGAGGTATCAGCACAAGCCAAAAAAGGTTATGAATTATAGTGAATGTGAAAACTCAAACTTTAGTCATGACAACCAAATTGGATCTAAGATGACTCACAAGATTCTATAGCGCAGATATATTTAATGCAGGACAACAAGAAAAAAAAAAGAACAGACTTTTGTTGTGATACCGTGAGTTCTTGGGTCTCATCACAAATAAAATGTTTAAAAAACCCAGATTCAGAACCAAGGTTATGGAGCGAAGCATCCCTGTGAAAGGAGTTCACTTATGGAATAGTTTTGACAAAGATATAAAAGAATCAAGTACAATGACGGCATTTAAAAAACACATAAAATCGAATGCAATGTTTATGTTTGAAAAAGAAAACTAAGCTGTTAATGCATAATGGTGAAGATTTCTGTTTGCAATTGATTCATAATTGTGACTTAAGAGAAATGTACTGATTTGAAATGTTTTAAAGTGACTATCAGTGTTGATGTTTTGTCTTGAAAAGGGGCAGAGAACATAAGACGACTCTTCTTTCTGCTCCTTTTCATTTATTTCTTATATCTTCGATGTTGTGACACTGTTGATGTCTTTTTATACTTTATGAATGAAATAAATAACTAAATAATTATAATAATAAATGATCAGGTTCAGCATTTGGACATTTACTTTTTGGATATTTCGTGGCAGAGTACAAAAACTGTAAGAAAAACTGTCTCTTGCCCTCATCTGGGAGTATGACATCATCGCATTCTAGCATCTGAAAACCACCATTAGAGGATCTGTCTTTTGTGCATATTTTAGGTTGATAAGCAAGACAGACCGCCCATCCACATGCAAACTCCACACATGAACGGCTATAACAGTTTTTACTTTATTTAAGATTTTAAAATTTACTTCAGATGCCCCGGTCTCCTCTCACCTGTCTGATTTCCCAGTTAACGTTCCACTGCTTCATGTTGGCAAACCTCCATGTTGTGACAGGCAGCCCGGAGGACATGTCGATTCGAATCATCCGGTTGTACGAGATGCCCAAGATTTCATCCTTCCTGCATCCTTTAAATCTAAAACATGCACACACATAAAATATTATAGTCTGATAATGTAAACAGATGGTGAGCACATGCTATGGGGTGACTGCAAGGTAAGAATGAAGAACAAGGAAAAATGCATTGGTTGGTTTCAGCGTGGACATAATTATATGCCTTATTTGGCACCAGCCTCATGCTATTTTTGCTATTGCTTATTTAGGATTTATTGTTATCATTTATATTTTTACTTTGTGTTATTATATTTTATTGTGATGTGCGAGCTACTGTGTCCAAATAACTTCGCTTGTGGATCAATACAGTTTATCTCAGTCTACTTATAAGAGTGTAGAAAGTCCATTGATTATGGGGGCAGTGGAGCCAGTGTTTTTATATCAGTTACATGGTATTTTGTAGGGATGCACTGATATGATGTTCAAATATATCAAATATAGACACCACTACTGTAAAATTAGCTGGATCAGGTATTGTTCTATGATATCGGTTAAGCAAATGCCCTGATTGGGCCTTTAATTAGATGTAATAAGACTATAATAAGAATATTTACAGGCCAATTTTATCCTGGAATGTCTCATAGTGTTTCAACTTTTATTCATACAAATTTCTTCAGTAGTGACCTGAAGAATAAATAACAGTTACAAAACACAATTTGATCTCTTGTTTAATAAGTAAGCTGTGTTTGTAGGAATATTAGAAATAACAAAAGTTTTCCTTCTCTACAGTGGTATCAGGTTATATTGGATATCGTCATAAACTTAAAGTCAAAAGACTGATATTAGTATTGGAACTGAAAAAGCTGGTGCATCCCTAGTATTTTCAGATGACTAACACCCCTGAAAAATGTCTGATCTTTTAAATTCGTAACAAGTAATTTTGTATTATTATGAATAGTTTTTCTCTGTGTCACCTACTTTATGTGCACAAAAAAGCAATAAAAACAAAAAAAACCCAATATAACATATTCCATTGCTCATTATTAAAGGCGCATTGTGTAACTTCTTTTCTGGTGGAGGGTCTGTCAACTGCTTTTCTCCATAGAGATGTTATTTCTTTGTAGGGAATGTTTCACAGTATGGCATTAAGCCTTTCTATCTTCATGGAGACTAAACTAGACCAAGTTACAGGTCAGATCTGTGGAGAGGTGACCCAATCACAGTCAGAAAGCCTGTTTTTCTAGGTATTTTTGAGCTATAAAACCAGCTGTAATGCAATAAATGTAAGGCAGAACATTCCAAGCAGAGCAGTGACACATGCGCAGAAACAAGCAGGTGACGGGCCCACCACCAGAAAAGTTACACAATGCACTTTTGATATGTACTGTTCTCTTTTACAAATACAAAACAACACACAAACACTTCCCTATCTCATAAGGCCAGCATACAATGCCAAGCCAGTACTACCTGACGATGTAGTAGTTGATGCCAAACTCTGGGAGCGACTGCCAGGCCTGAATGAAGCGCATCTTGGCGTCCATTAGCGACAGACGCGCAATGTTTTGATGAGCCTCCAACAGTCGAGTCGTCAGCTGCAAAATACACAAAAATGCAAATGAGGTTGACAAGCTTACAAAAGGAAAAAAAATAGACAACTGGCAATTATGTTATTAGTTAAAGGCACACAATATAACTTTTCTGGTGAAGGGTTCGAGAAAAAGAGAGATACTTTGCTACCTCCTTGCCTCCATGACGATGTTATAGTTTTGCCTACTATGTTCCAAAGTATTGCAGTAAAAATATTGTATCTGTTAAGAACAATGGAACAATTCACACCTAGCAACAACATCTTCATGCAGCCAAACAGATGACAGACCCTCCACTAGAAAAGTTACACAGTGCACTTTAAATAGAAAATATAATATTATATTCTTGGCACAGTGTACCCTGATAATCTAAACTGTATTACTAAGCACAAAAGGAAACAAATGATCCAAGTTTACAGCTGAAAGTTATTGCCAATGCACCTTTTAGTGGTTAGTTTATGGGGCGGCGAATGTCTGTGTTGAGATAATAATATATTTTTTCCAACATATTTTTATTTCTTTATTCGAGCAGTACTTTCAGTCATCATAAATATAAGAAATAAACAGACTTACTGCTTGCAAAAAGGATACTCTTTCAATTAATGGTATTAAAGTGTGTATGACAGATTTGTATGATTCTCTAATTTTTACTTAATTTGGTGGGTTAATACTTGTTGTAAATATAAATTGTAGTTTTATACCATTGAAAAAGCCGTTTGTGAAGAAAAGTTGAAAATGAAAAGGAGAGTTTGAAAACATATTGATGACAATACATGGGGAGATTTCTACCCAAAACTTTAGCACAATTTGCACATGAGGAACTATTTTTTTTCTGATACTTTATGCATGATTTCAACAAAATAAAGCTTTTTTCTTATATTTGTATTTGCCAGATAATAATTTCTGTGTACATTAGAGGAGTTTTGTTAAGTAACAGCTATGGAATTCAATAGTGTGATGTCACAGAATTTTAAACCAAAAAAATGGCCAAATTGGGAAAATAAGTGTGAATGTTTTTGCAAAAATCTTAAATATAAGGATCTTAACCATTTTAGTAAAATCAGTATCCTGTCACTTTAAACTGGCACTTTAAAGGTAATGTTCTATGACTTTTAAACTGATATATAGTATAGTACAGGGGTCGGCAACCCGCGGCTCCGGAGCCACATGGGGCTCTTTAGCACTCTCCTAGTGGCTCCCTGGAGCTTTTTCAAAAATTAGTGAAAATGGAAAAGGAATGCTTTTTTTGGTTGTTGTTTTAATGTGGTTTCTTTAGGGGTAAAACCCTCATTCATCTCTGGTCATGGATCTGATCCATCAGCTGTGTGCAAATGAAACACATGAAACAAATAGATGAGCTGAAGCGGGGGTGGTGTCCAGTGCCTCCACCTGAGAAGCGCTTTCCCTGAAAAAGCAAAAAAACAAAAAAACATGTGTGCAGACGGACGCTCAGAACAACATATAACAAACCAAACGGGATTCACGCTTCTGTCCGGATGCTTTGCACCCCCTCGGAACCAGCCGAGCGCGGAGGACCAGAGCAGCCCACCCGGACCTGTGATCCACAGCGCATTCTCGCTTTTCCCGCACGGAACCAGCGCACAGATGACTGCACTGAAGCACTCGGACCCAGTCCTTTGCGTGCCCAGGTCTGGAGCCAGGACATGGAGGACGAAGCCCCCGGATAATCTGACCAACACTGGACCCACAGCCCCGTCTTAAGGGGCTGCGCGCTGACTGCTCCCGTGTGTTTAGTGCTGCTGCCCGAGCTCAGAGCTTCTGCTCCGGGCTGATGTTGCGTACAAAGTTCTACATGCTGCTGTTTTCTGAGTGCTCCTATGCACGATCAGAAGAAATGCGACTGCTGCTCTGAATGCTTCCATCATCGTCGTCAAAGCAACAGGTAAACGTCGGTCGCACTTTCAGCGCGTCAGCTCCTAAAACTCCGTTTATTTTAGTTTACACGCAAACGTGAAACCGGAGTTTTCCAAAATCTCCACTCTAGCCGGAGTTTTTAGAAAGATTCGTTTTCAGAGGCGAATTCTCCGTTTGCGTGTAAACGATGTGAACAAACGAAGGGAAATGTCTCTGTTTTTAAAAATACCCGTGTACGTGTAAACGGGGCCTAAATGACAAAGGAATCAACACTAACCACCTGATTTCAGTGGCTACAGACGGCGCACCGAGTATGAGAGGGTCGCAAAAGGGGTTTGTGTATCATGAATTCTCATTTTGTATTTGTAGCCGACTTAGTCATTTTAATAGTCGGTTTATAAATTTACTGACAGCCTATGTTGCCTTCATATTAGGCTTATATAAGGCTTTTAATTTTTTGCGGCTCCAGGCAGGCATGGTTTTTGTTTTTTTGGGCCAATATGGCTCTTTGAACATTTTGGGTTGCCGACCCCTGGTATAGTACATTGTACACTATATGCTTGTGTAACACACCTGTTTAGTTTTGTGCTTCTTGGCATAACGTGGAGAAACAAAACATTCTGCATTCATGTCCATGGCCTCAACATCAGGAGCTTCTTGACCAGGAGGTGGCGCTAGACTCTTCATTTGTAAAAAGGACTGAATATTCTTCACTTCTGACTTGTACGAGCTGTAGGCCATCGTCTTTCCTTTGGACGCGAGAATGCACGCAGCTTTCCACTTTGCATACTGGTTTTCCTGGATAAAAAAAGAGAAGATAGTCATTGCTTTGGTGACTTTTTCATTCAAACAAATAGAAATAAGGCTTTACATTAACATGACTGAATCTAGATTGGCTTATATTTTGTCTACTTTTTAAGTTAATTTAGCCACTTGGATTGACCAATTGGATTTTCAACACATTTTATCCATATGATTCAAATTTGTTGCTGTTTTGCCTCTATATAAGGTCATTAGATTTAATAGCCTATACCACCACTCATAAACATATATATATATATATATATATACATATATATATATATATAATTGTAAAGAATAGCATTATTTTATAGATTAGTTTAGATGAGTTTATTTGTTTATTTATCTATCAAGGAGAATGCATATAAAAACATTGACCATCACAGTATGTTTGTAATATGTCTGTGCCTTGTTACAGCAAGATTACTAACAATCTTGCCACCTTCAGTCTCTAGACATAAAAGAGAGAAAAAAATCATTTAAAATCATAAATCAATTTGAATTTTTGAATTTTTCATTTGAATGTTTTATTAAAGTCTAATAATATTCCAAAGCTGGAGAATTTCTGAAAATTAAAAATTAAAGTGGCTAAAATCCTTAACAGCAGCTTTATGGCCCCCCTTAAAAACGAAATACTGCAGCTACTCTGAAGGGGCTTTCTTAGATGTACATTTTACAGTATTTATAGCTGAAGTTTCTAATCTCAAACTCTAAGTAGAAACCTAACTTTTTTGTTTACTTGGCATAAAAGGCAGAACTTACATTGTCACACCTGATGTATACCTCGTTCATCCCATCAGCCACTGGGAGCAGCAGCTTTATACCAAACTTCTTATCTGTCACATTTACATCAGGAACCACCTCACAGCCTGAAACAGAAAAGGGCCCATATTATGCTATTTTCTCATCTGTTATAATGCTGTTTCCTCATCACAACCAGACCTGGAGTTGTGTTTTGTTTCATTCACACATGTTTAACACACAAACCCTGCAGATTTAGGCTGAGTTCTTCTCTCAAAATGAAAACACTCTGTTACACCTTGTGATGTCATGTGGAGATACAGAAAGTGCTCCATTGTGTTTTTGAAAGCCATGCACCTTCACTACAATCATTTGAATAATTTTACACCTAAACTACCAATCTCAGCTAAAGATAAAAGGTTAACTTGAAAACTACAGCTTCATGACATCACAAGGTGGAACAGAGCATTTTGAGCTTTGGAGATGTAGACAGATTAATGATGCAGTCTTACTCAAACATGTGTGAATGAAACAAAACACAACCCCAGATATGTTTGAATGTTTTTTTTGTGTAATATAGGACTTTTAAGGACTTTCAGCCTTTTAGTTAGTTAGTTTTACCAATATAATGTAATGATGAGACAAAAAAAAAGTACCTCGTAAATGCAGTTGGTCTATGGGTTCTCCCTGTGCTGCTTCCTTGTTCTTGTAATAGGAGATAGTGGTGTCTTTGAACACAAACCAGTAATCTTTGTATGGCTTAAGGGTCAGTCTTTTTGGTCTAAACATAAACACAAATATATCTTTAAAACATATATATTTTAAAAACACAAACCAAACACCACAGAAGCCACCACAATATCCACTTAAGTTAAAGGTGCACTATATAATTTTTCCACTGGAACGTGGATGTTTTTTGAGGGTTTTATTGGGTATAAAAACACCTGTAATTTAATAAAAGCAAGATAGATAATAGTTTAATGCCATACTTTAACATCAGCTGGAAAAGCCATAACAAAACAGATGGCAGACCTGTAAAGTTGCATAATGCACCTTAAGATTTTTGGAATATTAATCTTCACTCACAATCGCTTTTCAACATATTTGGAACTGGTTTAGCTGAAAGGCACATAAATTGGTATAATAAGATGATGTACAAGCCAATGTTGGCCCAAAACATATGATATTATTATTATGTTTTACATAGCTGTTCTGTAATTACAAAACACATTTGGATATTTTCACCATACACAGTTTGTGTTTAAAGGAAATAAACTATATTTTCAGTCTTTGCCCAAGTATTGGTTGATATCAGGTGTCAGCAGATACTCAAAGTGTAAGTATCAACATTGGTATCAGAACAGAAAAAGCTAAATCCATACATACCAATAGCTAATACATAAAAATATATATAAAGTTAATTGATTAATATCCTGAATTCAATCATAGAACTTTGCAGCACAGTTGTAGATAAGTGCTGGCTTTCAGATGACATCACAGCATTCTATAGGACAATATTAATGAATACAGCAGCTCAAATACAGTGAGTTCTTAGGCTTAGTTAATAATTTAAAATACCAGGTTCAATATTTGTGAATTTACCTTTTACAGATTTCATGATAAAGTACAATGTAATCAACAGGAAAATCTGTCTCTTATGAGGCATTATTATATGAGGGTATGACATCATCATTATATTCTAGTATCTGAAAACCACCAATACTAAAATAATTATTAACTCTATAGTAGGAATAAAAGTGTTATTACTTAAACAGCCGGAGGGTATCTGCCAGCTCTGGTATGTCCGTGATGTCTTCCTGAAAGTGGGACAAACAACTGTGTGAGTAATTCTTTAGCTTTCAAACATATTATTATTTAAGCTCTGCTCACTAACCCTAACCTTTGCTCAGAAACAGCTGTCTCACTGTAACAAACCTGGATTCAAAGCAATTTTAAAATGTGTTTACCAGGATCCTGTCTGCGTGTCCTCCCTCCAGAGTCACCTCCAGGTTGGACAAAGCAGCTTCAACTTCGTCAATTTCAGGTTCATCTGAATTGTCTTGTGGTTCACTTGTCATGGTCAGCTTACAAATGTGATACTGTGAAAAATTAAAAGGTAGACTGTGTTACTGTTGTTGTTTTTAAAGATGGATTATGTAACTTTACTAGAGGATGGTCTGTCTGCTTGTGTCTGTGGAGATGTTATTGGTTTGGGCTTAAAACTATCAATCCTGACTTGTCATGGTCATCTTACAAATGTGATACTGGGAAAATAAAAAGGCATATTGTGTTATTGTTAATGTCTTTAAAGGCACATTATGTAACTTTTCTAGTGGATGATCCGTTATCTGCTTGTATCCATGGAGACGTTATTGGTTTGGGCTTTGTGGCATGAATATCTTGGCCTGTCATGGCCATCTTACAAATGTGATACTAGGAAAATAAAAAGTTTGACTGTGTTATTGTGGATGTTTTTAAAGGCGCATTATGTAATTTTTCTGATCTCCTACTTGTCTCCATGGAGCTAATTCACAATTTTCCACAATTTCATATTAAACTTATCTATCTCATTAGTTTTTCTTTTTCAATTCCATATGACTGAAAGGTTTTCATTCTACACTCTTCTCTCTTCTCTTATGATGATTATTTATGTTTTGATTTGTTTGTATTGTTATTTTAATGACTTTCTTATTCCGTAAAGCACTTTGAATTACTTTCTGTATGAATAAATACACTGTACAAATATACAAATAAACTTGTCTTTCCTTAAAATGTGTTTTTATAGCTCTAAAATAATTTGAAAAACATGCTGTTACTGTGAGTGGGGCTGCTTCTCCACAGATCTGACCTGAACATTTGTCACATGCACTGGTAAAAATGCAGGTCGTTAAAGGTGAAAAAAGTGCTACTTCCTGCTTTCAGCTCCTGTCAAAGCCAAACTGTATGGCATCTAACTGACCTGCAGGTGGCGCCCTTGAATTAAGCCTGTGGGGGTCGGGCAGGATATAAAGGTGCTTTATCTAATGACGTAATTAAGTGTCCCAATATCAAAAGTAAAAGGAAAACATGAAACCACTTAAAAGCACTTCAGTCTTTACACAGACTGTGATTGCACTAAAGGTATTTTGAAGGTTAGAAATTAATAGTAAGACTTAGATATTTAAAGCTTTTAAGTATAATGCATTTTGCGACTGTTGGTGAGGCATGTTTTGAAATGATAAGGTTAAGTATTAAGTATGAGTCATAGAGAGTGTGCAGTAAGATCTTTGTGTAGGTGAGTACATTACAAAATCTCCCTGTGAATCAGATAAAATAGTTGCAAAATACATTTCAACTACAGTACATTAAAGGACACATAATACTCTTTTTCTATGTTAAAATGTTATTTCCTCATCACAAACAGAACTGGAGTAGTGTTTTATTTCATTCACATGTTTAACACACAAACCCACAATATTTAGGCTGAGTTCTTTTCTCAAAATGAAAACACTCAGATCCACCTTGTGATGTCATATGGTAATACAGGAAGCACTCCACTGTGTTTTTAAACTGCACACACCTTCAATAAAATCATGTGGATGATGTCAGCCCTGGAATTGCCAATCTCTACTGAATTAATGGCAAAAGGAGTTGTTAACTTGAAAACTACCACTACATGACATCACAAGGTGGAGCAGAGCATTCTGAGCTCTGGAGATGTAGACAGACTAATCAGAAAGAAAAAATAAGACCCCGGGTATAGAAATTTAACATGAATTAAAGTTCACAAGAGTGAATTCTGTGTAATAAAAGACAAAATTAAGACAAATGAAATACTCGTATGTTTTGATGTTTTAAATTTAAAAGTGCACTGTGTAACTTTTTGGTTACACTGTTTTGTCTCCATGGAGACAGCTCATCTGTTTTTCAGGGCATTTTTGAGCAATAAAACTAATACTGAAGTACATAAATGCAAGATTGCTCTAAAGGTACTTTGAAGGTTAGAAATTAATAGTAAGATGTACAGTATATATTTAAAGCTTTGCAGTATCGTGTATTTTGCTACTGTTGGTGATGCATGTTTTAAAATGATAAGGTTAAGGATTAAGTATGAGTCATAGAGATTGTAAAGTTCTTTGTTTAGGTGAGTACACAAAATCTCCCTGTGAATCAGTCGTATTCTGAATCACATTGAAATAGTTGCAAAATACATTTCAGCTACGTACAGGTTTAATGTCCTACTGTGGAATATTCTACACAAAGCAATAACATCTCCATGAAGATAAGCAAGTGATGAACCCCCTACCAGAAAAGTTACATAATGCAACTTTAAAATATTTGCGCACTAGTTTTTTTAGTTACTTTCTTACTCAAAAATAGAAATAAACCAGTGTACAAAATCTACTCTTTTTGACAGCTTTCTAAATTGATATAATGGCATATCTTTTTTGCATATATAATAACAAAAAATCTGGCTATTACCTTGAAAGCAACACGTATCTACCATCTCTAGTACTGCCAATGACTTAATTTGTATTTATATGGATTCTGCTTTCTGTGCTCCTTTCCTCAGCTCCCAACCCCCTTTTCAAGCTCTGGCAAGTCCATGCACACAGTGAAATACCTTCTGCACTTCTTTTCCAGTTAGATAACAATAGGAATTTCAAAACTTCTACATATGCACTTAGTATTATATAAACTTTGTTACTATGCTCTTGGGCGCCTAATAAGTTAAGTCTGGATCTCGGTTTGTTATTATTTACTGTAAATTATGCCATAACTAAATAATAATGTATTTATGTAGAGACTATCACTGTATAAAATCATACTTCCTCACAGCAAGAAAGTTCAAGTTCTATTCTCAAAACTAAAACAATGCAAAGTAGGCAAGTGTGGGAACAGTGGCTCTAGTAATGTATACTATAGTTATGTCCTTAGGCAAGACACTTCACCCACCTTACCTACACATTTGGTAATTGAGTATACGATTGGTGGCCAGAGTATGGAATGAATGAATAATTAAGTTAAGCAAACTATTATTATTGCAGAGAGGTACTTCTAATACAATTCTTATATCTGCCTCCAATTATTAAAAAAAATTAACTCTAGTCTCATTCCAGGATGGATCAAGTGTATAAAACAATAACATAATATTGCTGTTTAATACCTTAAAAGTCCCATATTACACAAAACATATTATTGTGATCTGTCAGCCATGTTATAACGTTGTTAGCTCCTCAAAAACATACCTGGAGTTTTGTTTCACTCACACATGTTTGAGTAATACTTTATTATTATTACAAAACACAATTCCAGGTATGTTTGTGATGAGGAAACAACATTATAATATTAGAATAGATCATGAAATAACATAATATGTACACTTTGATGTTTGAGTATTTGCATTCTAACCTGTAAAGAAGCAAACATCAGCATTTCTTCTTCAGTGCAGTCTATCTCTTCAAGCAGAATGGACCAGCGAGCCTGTTCATAGAGCTGGGTAATCCTCACCGCATCATACTGAAAAACATGAAAAATTTCTCATTAAAATGGGATTATAATTACACTTTTTGTGATGGAATTAAATATTTGGCACTTACTTTGGGATTAAGATCAAAGAAGACATTGTACTTGAAACGAAGTAGCATCTTGTCATCTTCAAAAACATCCTGCTCCATCAGAGAACGAGAGGAGTCCAGCCAACTAGAAATTATAAAAAACTTTTTAATATCACAGTTTTATTTTGTTGTACAGTGACCTTTGCAGGCACCTTCAAAGCTATAATCTGTAACTTTAACTTTATATTTCTTCTCAGCCTAATATGGAACACTGTTCCACCTTGTGATGCCAGGTGGTAATACAGGACGTGCTCCACTGTGTTTTTATACTCCGTATATCTTCACTAGAATCAGCCCTGGAATTGCTCTACTGAACTCAACTAAAGGTAAATGGCGGCTGTTCTATTGAAAACTGCTACTACATGACATCACAAGGTGGAATAGAGCATTTTGAGCTTTGGAAATGTAGACAGACTAATAATGAAGGATTACTCAAACATATGTGAATGAACCAAAACACAGGGTTTGTTTTTGAGGAGATAATTGCATTATAACGTGTGTTAAAGCTCATAAGAGTCGATGTTGTGTAATATAGGACCTTTAAAAGCATACATTCTATTGTGAGACCTTTAAAAGCATACATTCTATTGTGAGGGGGGTTTAATATGGAGATTAAACTGGTAAACTGGTCTAGTGGCATCAATGCCAAACTATGAAACATTCCACGCAAAGCAATAATATCTCCATGGAGACAATCAAGTGGAAAAGTTATTGCACATTTTAGTATGATGACCTTCACAGCTAATTATTATGTTTCACAATATGCCTGTATTGTGAAATATATTACCCTGCGTTGTTGTGGGCCTTGTCCACCAGAGAGAGGGGCTGGTATATCTTGGCGAGCTCAGCGGGGGGCAGGTTAGGTTGACTTTCAGCGAGAGGGTTTTCTCCGAACCACAGACTGGTGGCGGAGAGGGGCATCCCATTCTCTGGGTCATATGTGGCTGTCATGGTTTTACTGTACATGGGACCTGGTATGAAATATAATGAAGTTAAAAATCATTAATGTATCAAAAATGTGATAACCCAAAATTAAAACACAAGAAGAAACAGCATGCATTGGTTAAACCAGTATTAAATATTTCTTTTAGATTTTGAAGATTTCCATTCTAAAGTGCATTTCAGAATGGTACCTGAGCCTCCTGCCCCTTTCGTGAGCACATCTATGTCCCAGAGCTCCTCCAGTGCTGAGTTTTTGTCTTTCTTCTTCTTTTTCTTGTCTTCAGGAGGCCTCAGGAGGGACAGCTCCTCTGATCTTCTTATGTCTGAAATGGGTCAAAAAAGAAAAAAAGTTGGTCTTCTGTTTAATTACTCAGCAGCTAAATAAGCCTCTGTGATATTGAACAAAAATTTACAATAGTTTTATTTAAAAGGTGCACTATGTAACTTTTATGATGGGGAGTTGACACTGAACTTTTATTTCCCCACAGAGACAAGCAGGTGAAGCCACCAAACCTGTCAAGTAGCAACCCCACTCATAGTAAGAATACATGTTTTTCACCCTCAAAAAACATACAAATATAGAAACATATTCATACTGTGGAACATAGTAGGAGACAATAACATCTCCATACAAAACCAGGTGGCTACAGAGTTTAACTTGAAACTGCATTACAATGTTATATAAAGTTATTTGGTTGACCCAGCATAAGCAAAAACAAAAACTACAGGTATTAACACACACCTTAGAATTCAGGAAATAGTCTGAAATCATATTTGCATTCTTGGTCGGTTTTATGGATCTTTAAAAACATAAATACTGATAAAGTCACTGCTGAAGCAATGAAACGGTAAGGTATTGTTTAAAAAGTGGTAGACTGTTATCCAGGACTAAATAAACTAAAATAAAAAGGCAGGACTCACTTAGGATTTGACAGATCTCGGACACAGCTTTGAAGACCACATTGGAGAAACTGACAGTCATTCTGACGGTTTTCATGTTTGGGAGCTGCAGTAACAGAGGCTTGTGTTGAGGAGTGTAGTGCAGGTGTGCATCGGCCTATGGGACAAAACATAGGGAAAAATGACAATCTTTGAATAAGTCTGTGTTTGAAAAAGCAATATAAAGGGCCCGTATTATGCAATTTTATCTATATAATGTTGAGATTTCCAAATTGCCGTGAACCCCGATACCTGAATGCCATATTTATCCAGGGTCCAGTGAGTTTTCAGGAGCCAGCATTTCCTTTGTTCCCACCACAGGGCGTGATCGGACCAGTCCTGGGGTGCCTCTGAAAACAGATTTTATTAGTCAAGCCATTGCCTTTTTTATTATAGTTCAAAGACAATTAAAACACAAAATTACTGGGCTTTTCATGGCCTTAAGGCAGGGATCACATGCATCACAACCAACAATCACTTCCTCTGCCCTGATATGGCGAAGTCGTATTAAACTGGTTTTATGTGAGAGCCTGACATCATTTAGTGACGCCGATCTGAAATCCGTCTGCTGGTGACAAGCTATTAGTCATTTATTATGGCTCAAGCAATGTAAACAAGTGTGCCAATGTTGGTACATGCATTAATTCATTTCATTCATAGAAATCAAATCTTAAACCGGAATCTCAAACCTAAATCAAAACAAACAAAGAAAACAATAGCGATAGCCAGGTCAGGCCCAAAGGTGTGAAAGCCCTCATGATGGCCCTGAATGATTATGCTAATATGACCCCACACAGTGCAGCTCAGTAGGCACAGCTAACGAACAGAAACTGTAAACAAGTAGGGTGTTAGTTTCAGAGTAGTTTCAGTGTAGTTAGCTCCTCCCTTCAGACAGATATAAGACAGTGTCCATCAGCGTCTGACCAGAACTGAAGAAGCAGCTTGGATGGGGTGCAAAATATATTGGACCAAATAAACTTATGTCTAGTTGACAAATTGAATTTACTGTACACACACACAAAAAAAGAAAAAAACATATTTTACTCTATATTACATTACATTATTTTACATTTAAGGATCATTCATACTTGCAACATCAACACATCAAATCTACACTAAAGTGGAATTAAACCAGTACTAATCCATGACTAGACCAGGACTGAACCAGGACTAAACCTTGACTAGGTCAGGACTAAACCAGAACTAAACCAGGACTAGACCAGGACTATACAAGGACTAAACCATGACTAGACCAGGACTGAAACAGGACTAAACCATGACTAGACCAGGACTATACTAGGACTAAACTATGACAAAACCAGGACTAAACCATGACTAAACTATGACAAGACCAGGACTAAACCATGACTAAACTATGACAAGACCAGGACTAAACCATGACTAAACCATGACTAGACCAGGACTATACTAGGACTAAACTATGACAAGACCAGGACTAAACCAGGACTAAAACCATGACAAGACCATGACTAAATCATGACTAGACCAGGACTAAACCAGGACTAAACCATGACTATACCAGGACTAAACCATGACAAGACCAAGACTAAAGCAGAACTAGAACCGGATCAAACAAAAACTACATCAGGACTCAAATTGGTCCATAATTTAGCCTAAATCAGTCAAGATATATAAACTTTTTTTTAATACTGTATGTGAAGTTATGAATCTAAGAAGGCACTGGTAATTGAAACATTTTCTTGGAGTAAAATGTCTGTAATATATAAACAAAAATGCATTATAGCAAGTTTTATAAGCAAAAACTAGTACTGGCCTACTAACTGACAGTAACCACAGCATTCATTCATCACATTTCAATATTATGATGATGGATTTCACCACAGTTGTTTGAAACACTGGCAATATCCATTGAGTTGAAAAAGGCACTTCAAACAGATCTGATCTTAACTGAACTTTGGACCTTAGGGCGAGTGGAGCTGAAGCATTATAGTAAAACAAAGAGACCACGTGGAGCAAAGTAAAGGCAAATAAAGGTGTGGCTCATGGGGAGACTTTTTAAGTAGTTAATATGTTTATAGGCCAGTGAGTGAGTGGTTTTATATCAGCTAAGCAATGTAAGCCTGTCTGCCAAAGTTGATATGCATTTATCCATTTCATTCATTCAGGTAAATAGTAAAATCATTAGGAATACACCGATGTAATACTGATTATTGAATATTAGCTATCGCTGTCAATACTTAACAATTTGCTGGATTGGATATCGACTTCTAAATATGGGTTCAGTCGATATCGGAGTTGGACATACATATTGAAGTAATAAGACTATTTACAGTTCGCTGTTGGCCCAGAAGATCTTGTAATGTTTATTTTATTTTTTATTTTATTTTAAACATGCAAACTATAAATCTGAAATCTTTAATCCCACCCCTTTTCATAATTATAACTTCAAACTTTCGGTTTTGTGTTATAGGTTAGTGTACATGACTTACTAACAGAAGAGAAAAAAAAAAGAGCATTAGAATTAGCATTTTTCTCTATTTTCATATTTCATCAATGCCATTTCTTTGTATTTCTTCTTTAATGTTATTATGCTTGAACATTGTTTCAAATAGCTCAAAGTTTTATTTACAAAAGTCTGTTCTGTGGTTACGTAAGAGACAGATAACAGAGCTGTACATACCACATTTGGAGCTGTTCTGTCTCATTTTATTTTTTGTTTTAAGGAAATAAATGCTGTTTTCAGTCTCAGCTCTGGTATTTGTTTATATTGGGTATCAGCAGATGCTTAAAACTGTAGTATCGGAATTGATATCAGAATTGAAAAAGCTGCATCGGCGTATTCCTGTAAAATTAACGTTTCCTTTTTGTGATAGAGTATATTCTTCATTATATTTACGTTCAGGGTGCGTTCACACTTGCACAATCACCACATCAAAACTGAGACTTAACAAGGACTAATCCAGGATGAAACCAGAACTAAACCAGGACTAGAATATTTTCTACAGAAAATATGCTGTACAAGTTAATACCACCACCATGTTAATGTCTCTAAACCAAACCAGGAATACATGAGGTCTATCAAATAACTACTAAAACTAGAGCAACTGTACTAAACCAGGTCTAGACAGGACTAAAGAACTAAACCAGCACTAAATGAAAACGAAAGTGTTACTTATCAGTCCAGGTTTTTTGTGGATCTTGGTTTTACCCTGGAACCAGACTTTGTTTTGATGTGGTGCTGTACTAGTCCTGGTCTAGTCCTGCTCTAGTTCAGCTTGCAGATGAGTTCACACTTGCTCACACAACACATAAAAACAAGGACTGAACCAGGAACTAAACTAAGACTAAAACAAAACTAGAACAGGACCAAGCCATCAGGACTAAACTGGACCATTGGTGAAAGAAGTACTTGATTTGGTTACATAAGACACCAGAGCAAAAATGAAAAAAATCCACTCAAGTAAAAGATGTACTTAAGGAGTAAAAAGTGAAAGTATTTCACACGTTTTTGGAGGTCTTATAAAACTTCAAATGTACTGATTTTGATAAAGATTTGTTGTGAATTTTGTTCAGTAGAAACCATTTAAAACATTTCCTAGCTGTTTTTATTTATATAGCTTTGTTTGCTCAAACAAACCCTTAGACTTTTCACCAGGTCTCAAACAGTAATAAAAATACTTTTACTTTTCAGTCCTGTTCGAAAAAGTAAGTAAGATACCTGCTCTCAAATGTAGTGAAAGTAAAATGTATCACCTTTAAAATCTACTTAAGTAAAATACAGACACTCAAAATGTATTCCTAGGTACAGCACTTAACTATTTTTACTTTGTTACATTCCACCACTGAACTGGACTTAAACCACTCCCAAATAAAGAGTGTGAATTCACCCTTAATTGTAGGTTTCATTTCATTCAGTCTCAACTATGATTTACAAAACCTAATCCAAGAGTAAACCAGGACTGTAACTAGTTTCAATACCACAGATCAGTATCTTAAATCTGCACTAAAATACAAGTAAAAACAATAGTATTACTTACTTATCTTTTCAACCATTTTGAGCATTAGACCACCGATGTGTAGATCTCCTTTGACTCGAAGCTTAAATTTCATGGACTCCATCTCTCCTTCTCTTAGGTCCACCTGAATGGACAGCTCCCATGATGTATCTCCAGAGAGCATGATCCTGTTCAAAAGTACATAAAATATACGTACAGTAAAAATGTGAAGAACAAAAACTATGAAGCACTTTCTTCTGAGGGACAAGTTAAATCAGTCCATGAGTCAGTGAATAATATCCTAGGGGAAATATCACTTTTGCAACCACCACAAAAATGCCTTCTCTTTATATTGGTTACAGTTTATTTGTAATCTGTCACAACTAATGAATCATGATATAGGTCATTATAAGACAGGACTAAAACTGAAACACAGAATAGATAAGTGTAACGCAACAGATGAAGTTATGAAATCAATTAGGGAGTTCATTGACTTGATAAAAATTGTATATTGTGATATTCCCTCTAGGCCTACCTTTTCATGTGGATACTAAAGTTATCCAAAGTATTCAAAATCAAATACTAATCAATATTTCAACTATTAAAAATAGACATTCAGTTGAGAAGGTATTGATATTAAAAAAGTCCCATTCATAGGAAAGAAATGAATCTTTCCTGAATGTGGAATAAGACCAGATGGACTAGTATACACTCATGGATATAACTCAACGTAATATAAAACACAGTACTATTATTTAATATTGAAAATCACATTATATTGTCTAAATAAAGAATGCTTTTTTATTACCGTTGAGTATTGAGTCTATTCCTTAGTATACAAATTACGTTTGAAAGGTGCAGGTGACAAGTTACAGGTCAGATCTGTGGAAAGGCAGCCCTGTTCACAGTAAGAATCCATGTTTTTCAAAGTATCATTTGGTGGATAAAACACTTGAACTCAACTGAATAAATCTAAGTTTACTGTGAGATATTCTAGGGAAAGAAATAGCACTTCGGTGAAAACAAGCAAGTGGCATACTCTGTACCAGAAAAGTTACACTGTGCCTGTTAACATAACTGGCACACACTTTCACATGTCAGTTGCAAAATCTAGCAAAGATTCTTCACATTGCAATGACAACACTATAATTAGACATTGAAAAACATTTTAAGTTATAATAAAGGTCCGATCTTATATAAAATTGACTCTTGAGAGCTGTAAATATTGTTATGTCCTCAAAACATACCTGTGTCCTGGTCTTGTGTTTTGTTTCATTCACATATGTTTGAGTAATCCTTTATTATTAGTCTGTCTACATTTCCAAAACTCAAAAGGCTCTGTTCCACCTTGTGATGCCATGAAGTGGTAGTTTTCAAACTGACAGATTTTACCTTTTGTTTAATAGAGATTGGCAATTCCATCATCATCCTAATGATTCTAGTGAAGGTGTATGGAGTTTAAAAACACTGTGGAGCGCTTCCTGTATTACCACATCACATCACAAGGTGGAACAAAATGTTTTCTGTTTGAGAGTAGAAAACAGCCTAAACATACAGGTTTGTGTGTTTAAAATGTGAATGAAACAAAACACAACTCTAGGTATGTTTGTGAGGAGTTAACATTGTAATATATATCAGAAAAGAGTGTAATTTGGGACCTTTAAATAGTATGCAATTGGCTATAGATCAGATTGATTAGATGGGGCGAACAGGAGTGGGGAGTAGGTGTAATAAAGTTGAGGAGAGAAGGGAGGTTTCAGGTGAGGAATGTGTGGCGAGCTCAGACACGATTTTGGAGCAAAGAAGACCACGCAAAGATCCTTCAAATCCCCTCGTCACAAATGCTGAACTGACTGTGAAAAAGTTTGCGCAGAGACAAACTTTAAAACTTATTACATTATTCATGATGATGGTAGGCCATAGAGAATGTATAATATAGCCAGGCGGTATACTTAAAAAGCTGGAACAGTAGTTCAACTTAATACAGCTGCAGGCTACAGAAAGTATGAGTGTGCATAAGAAAAAACAAAAATTGAACCTGAAATGCAATATTTATGTAAGATTAATGACACAATGGGCAACTACTTTTACAAAAACAACATAATTATAATAAACTAGACCATAGGGTGTAAAATTAGTCTTATAGTATGTAAAACAACATGCCTTATTTGTATTCTAGATAATTACATTTGTTTTAATATGGGGTGACCAGATTTGGGATGGGATTGAGATTAGTATAAATAAAATTGTGAAAATAGCATGTAACATTGTCCATTATCGACGATTTGTGTGTCAGTATATAATCTGAGAATCTTTTGTCATTGCATTTATTTTCTTTATGGTCATTTTCAAGCATGGTCTGTATTTTAGCTAAAGAAATGACAATATATTCTTAAATTGGTCAAAACAAGGACTATTTTTTTTTGTATAAAACTGGGACAAATCACTGTTTTGGATAAATCCGCTGGGACAAACGACTAAAACTGCAATGCATTAATAATTTACTAGTATCTTATGACATTTATTGGCCCTGTTGGTGAAGTAAATTTGATCAGCTATCAGTCATCAAGAAAGAAGTAGGGCATATCAACTATAAGTGCTAAAGTTAATGAAAAAGTAAACATTAATTTGATAGATTGATTACAAATACAGCCAATACAATGAATGGCATGTCTCATTAACACCAGAGCAATGGCATGGTAATAGACTGACTGCATAATATTGGAGATCTTAAGTTTTCTGTAAAATAAAATGCTAAAATAGTCTTACCTTGCTAATAATGGCAACTATCAAGTATCCAAATTCTTGAAATATCTGTGGAAGAAGTAGGTCAGGAGCGGAACAGCGGCAAAAACACACCCAGCTCGCAGGTAGTCTCCCCTGGGCACGGTTCAGGTGGGAGTCGGTCGGCCGGAAGTGGGAGGAGCATAACAGGAAGCGCGGATTTACGATATTAGGTTAGCTTTGTGATTAGCTTACCTTATTTATGTCACACGCGTATTTCTTGGTAAAATAACAATAACAAACCTGTACAAACGTATCCACCTAATGTTAAATCATATATTTGTTCAATTTTCTTTGCATTTTTAAGGTAGCAATTGAAATAATACCGAAATAAAATAGTGAAGTGTACTAAATTGGCATATGCTAACATGCAAGCTTGTTTAAAGAGCAACTATGGTTTTATCACGTATGTATTTTTAATGTGCAGAAATCAGAACTTTACTGAATTAAATGTTGTTAAATGTTAGAAAATTATTCAAATATAGGCTAATAATTTATATTTCCACTTTTACAGAAACAGTCAAATTTCTAATGTGAATGTGTCAATCTGATAACAAAAAATGGCCAAGCAGTTTGTATTTATTATAAAGCAGGCGGATATGTAATTGAGGTAAAGTATTTGTTTTGTATTACAGAGACCGATGTTTGCCAAGATGACCAGTGTTGAAAGCCTGACCCCAGCTGGACTTTACTGGTATGAACACAAACTACATATAACTACATTATATTTATCATATATAGACACTATAGGTGAATTAAACTAATGGACGATTTAACAATAGAGAATTGAAGTCCTGTTTTGTTGTTTTAAGCTAGGGTAACCAGAATTTCAATGACAATGTATGCCTCTCTTTACTGTTGGCAGATATTAGATTGGTCAAAAATAGGGACACCTGGTACAAATCTTGTATAAAACTGGGATAAATTAATGGTTGCTGGGATAGGGGATGCAGGGATCAAAACTGGGACTGTCCAGAGTAAATAGGGACGTCTGGTGACCTTAGGTTTCGATCAAATTGGTCAAAATAGGGATACATGGGACATTTCTTGTATAAAACTGGGACAAATCAATGGTTTTGGATAAATCTGCAATGACAGGGAACACAGGGCTCAAAATTGGGACTGTCCCAGGTAAATAGGAACATCTGGTCACCCTACTTTAGGCTACTTTAAAAAATATAACAATACAAAATCCTATTCATTGCAACTAATTTTCACTGGATGTAAGCAGATGTTGTAACCTGTACTTACCACACAGGGGCAGTATTGGTCTTTGCTGTGAGCAGAAAAGTCCCAGCAGCACATGGTTGCAACCTGTTTTTGCACAGCTCCAACCCCCAGTCTCTGGATAGAGTTATGGATATTATTATGTTGTGTTAGTTCATTTCATAAAAACACTAAGTTGTCCCCTGGAACAAGCTTTAAAAATCTCACCTTGTATTTAGCCAAGTTTTCAGGCTACCACTTGCTGCTGTTGCTTTTCAGACTAAAACCAAATAACTTACCACTTAGTTTGATGATTAAACATAGAAATATAAAAAGATTTATGATGTACTAGTGGATGAGTGTATTATTTTTACTTTTCCCATCCAGAAAGAAGAAACAACATTTGACTCCAGTGCAAGGCAGTCTAAGATGGTAAGTTTTCAGGATACGAAACCTCACCAAAATAAGAGCCTTAACCTTAAAAGACAGTTACTCTGACCGCTTGACCATTCTGACCACACCCTGCAGATTAAGTTAGACAAACATGCCTGACAGTCGTCTAAGCTCTCTGTTACAGCCCAGTACACTGCAAAATCTGAAGATTACTGTGTGTTAAAATCACTTGAATTCAGAAGATTAATCTTGATTTGAGTCATTTTGATTAGGTTAGATTAATTCAGTTTGTAGGACTATACTTTTGGAATTGTTTCAAGATATTTTTGACCAGTTTTAATATGTTTTCTAGTTTCAATCAAAAGCATCTGTCCTTGGAGTCAGATTTTTTTCACATTTAAGTAGTAGTATATAACATAAGATAAGATGTGACCATTTAAAGGGTGCACTGTATAGCTTTTCTGATGTGGGATCAGTCACCTTTTTGTCTCCATAAAGATTTTATGGCTTTGTTCCACAATATGGCATAAAACTGGTATATCTCCATTGAGACACATAAGTGGCGGAACCAGGCCAAGTTACAGGTGAGATCTGTGGAGAGGCTAAACTACTTATATCAAGAATGCATGTTTTCTGTGGTATCTTTGAGCAATAAAAATACCTGAAAATAAACAATTGCAAGATAGGTAACTTTAATGCTATATTGTAGAACTTTCAAGACAAGCTATAACATCTCAGTCATAGGTACATAGTGCATAAACATTTCTTACTCCCCTGACAATAATTTTAACCCAAGTAGATTTTCTTTTTGCAGTGCACTTGCAGCTGGCACTTGGGGTTGTCTTGGCCTCTTGTGCAATAGAGGAAATGTAAATTCCATGACAAAAACAAACAAATAAAGCCAGAACCTCATAAAGTGTCACTGCAGAGATGTGGAAAATAAGCTCATTCAGACCTGACAGACCTGGACACGGTTCAGAGTCACCGTGACACCTGCGGCTCCCACGGCAACAAGGAAAAAAGCACAGGGGGGTGAGGAGGCCAAACACGTGCTAGAGTAAAGGACAGAGTTTCCCACAGGTTTTTACTGAGACTATTAGGGCTGTAAACCTGTAATTCTTTAGTCAATGAATTGGTTGATGGTGTCTTACTTGACCAAAACTTATTATTAAAGGTGCATTGTGTAACTTTTCTAGTGGAGGGTCTGTCAAATGCTTTTCTCGGTGGAGATGTTATTGCATGGCCTGGAATGTTTCACAGTATGATATTAAACCTTTCTATCTTAATGGAGAGCAAACCGGACCAAGTTACAGGTCAGATCTGTGAAGAGGCAACCCCGCTAACAGCCAGTTGTTTTTGTAGATATTTTTGAACTTTAAAACACCTACAATTGAATAAATGTGAGGTAGAGCTGCATAATGTCATACTGTGGAACATTCCAGGCAGAGCAATGACATATCCATAGAAACAAGCAGGTGATGGACCCCAACCAAAAAGTTACATAGTGCACCTTTAAAAAAAAAAAATGTAAATAAAAATATAAAAATAAAACTGCAAGTTTGTTGCAGCAAAACTTGAATTTCCTTTGGGATCAATAAAGTATTTCTCTCATTAGATGGACACGGACATGGTCCAAAGTACTGATTAAAAATATTAATTACAGACTGACTATAGTTCAATGCTTATGATAATACTAGAAGCATAAAATTTCATATATCACCATTTTTCTTTCTTTTTTTCCAGTTTTTAGGCTATGGGACTGTGGCGGAGCACTATAGTCTCCCCTTTTTAATGGGAAACACTGGAGTACTTGAAGGTCCAAGCATTGAACCCTGCTCTAATCATTGTGTGCTGTTGTGTTCTTGGGCAAGACGCGTCAGTCACCTTGCCTTTGAATGAATGAATGAATGAATGAGTGAATGAATGATGATTGATGATTGAAGTGTCTAAGCAAGTAAGAGGCTTGTCAAATATGTAGAGGGCTGTACAAATGTAAGTGAAAATGATTATATTTGGAAGCAACTTGTATTTATGATTTGTGAGTTATAAATACAGTACAGTAAAAAACAGACAGAACAAGATGAGAAGAATACACTAAATCATACAGCCATACAGTGTCCTAAGGCAAGGGGCAAGAAAAAAAAAAATCAAGTTATGCAATATTGTCAACATAGTGCTTTTTCACTTATAGAGCTACTCACAGTGGGCTGACTACCCAAAGTTTTTACTCCAATAACAAAACTGTTTCTTTAATAAGATATGAATCAAGTACAAGTGAAAGTATTACTTCCATAAAGACATATTTACTTTACTACAGCACCTGTGAGAATGATAAAATACACTGTAAAGAGTGATGAGGAGAGAAAGGAGGAGCGTTTTAGGCTGTGGTTTACAGGGAATAAATTACATCTACTGCCTGAAGCTGGCTTAAACCTGGTTGGGAATTGTAATAGCCCTTTTGCTGCAGAATTCCTGTATTTACGGAAAGAGAAACCTCGGGGTGACCTGGGAACACGCTTACCCAATTAGCAGCCTCGTCCACGGATCAAATGGAAGTGAAAACATTCGCTGCCGTGGTACAGAACCATCACAATGCTCCATTCATGAGTTTTGAGTCCCTGCTTTGGGCCTGAGGTGGGGAGAGAGAAAGAAAAAAAGAGGGAGAGGAAAGGAGAGACAGAGAAAGAGAGACAGACATGGGACCAAGGCTCTGTCGTGGTGTCAGTTGACTTCAGAATAGGGGTGTGCTAAAATATCAAAATTTCGTTTTTGTGGGCTGCCGTAATGATATATTGCATATTTTATGGTATATTTTACTAAATTATTTTGTGTTTTTGCTACAATTGTGATGTTTGTTCAGAGAAAGGAAACTTTTTAATGCAATACAGTTGACATATTCATTGTTTAAATGGTTACAGCTGGTTTATTCCATTGTCCACAAGTCGTGGTTTGACAAAGAAATACTGTTTTTGGTTCTGAAAAATAGTGCTATACTGAAGAATATTATGTAAATAAATAGAGATTATTGTTGCAGAATATCAAGTAAACATATATAGAGATTTTTTTTCTTTTCTTTCTTTCTTTCTTTTTATTTATTTCTTTTTCTTTTATTTATTCCATATATCACCATATCGTGATAATATCATTTCGTGAGCCACTGAATATTGTATTGAACCCTCTGATTCTCAGCTCCATGTCAGGCTGTGTGAAATAGAGCTGCAGGATTCTGGAAATGTTTCTAATTAGAAATTTTTCAGAATTTTGCTCACATTTTAAAGATGTTCTGAGTACATCTCAGAGAAGTCCAACTGAAAACTGTACAGCTGAACTAGTACAAGAATCATCTGCATTTCATACACATATATACATAATAATTTCTCCGTGGACCGACCTGACCTGCTTAAAACTTGAATGAACTTAATTACTTATTTTTCAATTGCTAAAAAATGCCTTGGAAAAACATTTATTCTTACTGTGAGCTGTGGTTGTCTCTCCACAGCTCTGACCTGTAACTTTGACTCTCTGGTGTCACCTGCTTGTCTACATGTAAAAACATATGTTTAATGCCATACTGTGCAACATTCTTGTCAAAGCAATAACATCTCCAGTATTTTAAGTACAATTCCCTGCATTATTAAGCAACTCAGCTTGTTAAAATAGTTATCATAGTCACTTTAAACAAGTCAAATCAAGTCTGATAATAGTTTTTGGCAAATCTTTGTTCAAACAACACGAGTCATGACTGATATGCTGAAATTAAGTAATTTAAAGGTGCATTGTGTAACTTTTCTGATGGTGGGTCCAGCTAATGCTTTTCTCCATGGAGATGTTATTGTTTTGTCTGGAATGTTTCACAGTATGGCATTAAACCTTTCTATCTTCATGGAGACCAGATGAAGTTACAGGTCAGATCTGTGGAGAAGTGACCCCGCTCACAGTTAGAATGCCTGTTTTTCTGGGTATTTTTGAGTTATAAAGCCACCTGTAACTGAATAAATGTAAGGTAGAGCTGTTTAATGTCATACTGTGGAACATTCCAGGCAGAGCAATGACATTTCCTTAGAAACAAGGAGGTGAAGGACCCCCAATCAAAAAGTTACATAGTGCACTTTTAACAAAAAATCCTTGAGGAAGCTAACTACACTGCCTAATTTTGATTGATTACTTTCTTGGTTTTATATAATTTTTTGTTCTAACTTTTGGTTTATCTGCTTTACAACACACTGATTTTCCAATATATTTTTAAGTGTTTTGGGCTCTTCTTCCAAAGCATACTTAAAATGTATGTAGAGATGTCCTTATGCATTTCCTAAAATATTACAGATTGCATTGGAGATAAACAAACTAAGGGTGAAGTATAGAGCCTGCTTTATATCTAAACTTATTTTTACAAGATCTTTTTGGGAGAATGGCGTCTTTGGCTCCAGTTGTCGATGTTTACTCTGATAAAAATATGTTACAGCGAGGACGAAGATGCAGTGAACTCAAAAGGCTTAAACTTAAAACAACTTTGTGATTTGAATATCCGCTTCCATGTTGCCAAGTATGATTTCCCGTCTTTTTATTTACCTTTCTTTTACCTGGCAACATCTGATAGAAATAAAACTTTTCATGGTGTCAACTCAGATAACCGTAAATACAGGCCCGTCAGCACCGGGTGACCCCTGCTTTGGGAATGGGGTATCACATGTTTTAGAGCATATTTCTGACAAGTGACTACTGTGTAAAACCACCTCCATCGCAGAGTATAACTTTACATGTTACTGATGTATTTTACTCTGAACTGTCCAAAGTAATTTAAAATGAACCTCCAGGATTCACTAGTTTTCATTTATTGAGGACTTTAAGATCCATTATTTAAAGGGCCCATATTACACTATTTTCGGGTCTATGTTATAATGTTGTTTCCTCATCACAAACAGACCTGGAGTTGGGTTTTGTTTCATTCACACATGTTTAACACACTAATCCGGCAGATTTAGGTTGAGTTCAACTCTCAAATGGAAAGCACACGTTGTAATGTGGTAATACAGGAAGTGCTTCACTGTGTTTTTAAACTTTATACACCTTCACCAGAATCATTTGGATAATTTCAGACCTGGTTCCACTTATCTCTACAGAACTAAAGGTAAAAGGTAGTTGTTAACATGACATCACAAGATGGAACAGCGCATTCTGAGCTTTGGAGACGTAGACAGACTCATAATGCAGTTTAACTGAAATATGTGAATGAAACAAAATAAGACTCCAGGTCTGTTTTTAATGAGGTAACAAAATTCTAACATGGTTTAAAGCTCACAAGAATCATTTTGTGTAACATAGGACCACCTTCTTGTTTCTTGTTTCTGCTTGTGAGTTTGTGTACCCAGCCCATTTGGAAATGGTGTAAAACGGCCATTCCCAAGGTCTGCTGTGCTGTTGACTGTGGCTGGGTAACATTAAGAAGTTGCTGATATGATAAATACCTCTATACATAGGCCATGATATGATACACATCTCAGTACAGTGAACTTATGATCCAATATGATATATTTCAAATCAGTTCGATACAGTTCAATGAAAATAAAGGCTAAATTGTGGCTGCGATGCTAAAAGTCTTTGTTAAACCACTTCTTGTTCATATGAAACACAAACATTTTAATCATCGAAAAATGTCAAATGTGTTGCAGGAACCAGTTTCTTTCCTCTCAACAAGCAACAAAACTGTAGCACTGTAACAAAATAATTTAGTAAAATATACCAAAAAATACTCTTGGTGAAATATCGATACAGCAGCCCATGATGTTGATGCTGTATTTTCATATTAAACAATACGATATATCAATATTTCAATATTTTTGCACACCCCGACTGTTAACCATGTCGATATGAAGAATTGCTATTGGGAATTGCTAGTTTGAAATATCACATACTTTAATCTTCCATAACCTATTCAAGGTGCAGTGTGTAACTTCTCTGATGGGAGAGTCTGTCACAACTATGGCACTAAACTTATCTGTCTTACATTTATTCAATTGCAGATGTTTTATTGCTCAAAAACACTAAAGAAAACACCTATTCCTTCTGTAAGCAAGGTCACTCCACAGCAATAACATTTCCTTGGAGACAGAAAAGATACACAGTGCACCTTTAAGAGACTATATGGCGGATACAACATCTGTAGTTTCACTTTGAGTTCTATATAATTTTTTGTTCTTTTGCAGATTTCCTTCAAAACCTTTTTGACGGCCCCTATAGACACCCAGATTCATCTCACCTGCACCTCGGAGTCTTATATAAAATGACCCCGGAAAAAACAGCACTGCAACCTTAAACCCAAACAGGTAAGAGGAAGTTGGTTGGGTTTTCCTTTCCTCACCTCCTCAATTAAACCCCTCGCTCTGAAAAGACGCCATTTTTAAATCATGCAAATCTGCGCTCACTCTCTCTATATCAGCTGATGCCTTGTGTTGGTATTGGCACTGGCTTAAAGACCTAAGGGAAAAAGACATACATAGAGTGAAAAAGGTTGCTTAAACTGTAGCCGGATTACTTTAGCAACACTTTCCACGGTGAAGGTCATGTGAATGGGCTCATTGTGAGACAGAAAGTAAAAGCTGTCAGTACTTCGTTCATTTGCACCTAGTTTAGTGTTTGAAGTCCCCTGTTTATCCGCTGTCTAAAGGGAAACCCCACTTTGACACCAGGTAAGTATGAGAGTTACACACACACATATACATGCACGCACAGATGTTGGGTTTCCGTGCTTCTTGAGGACATTACATTGACTTGAATTCATTTCCTGGAGACTGGGCTTTGCTATTTTTTTTATTTATTTCATTCATAAAGCATAAAAAGACATTAACAGTGTCATAACGTAAGAAGAAATGAATGAAAAGGAGCAGAAAGAAGAGTATCTAAGAGTAAAAGTTATGTACCCCTTTTCCAGAAACTGCATTAATGCTGATGGTTACTTTGAAACATGCCAAATCAATACATTTAATTTCAATCACAAATATTAATCAATTGCAAACAAAAATCTTCACTTTTATGCACAACAACTTCTTTTTCATACATACACATTGCACTTGATTTCATGTATTATGTATATCTTAACCTTAGGCATAGTAACAACTTCCCTAAGCTTAAAGGGCCCATATTATGCCATCTTCTGATGTATGTTATAATGTTGTTTCCTCGTCAAAAACAGACCTGGAGTTGTGTTTTGTTTCATTCACACATGTCCGAGTAATCCTTATTTAGTCTGGCTACATCTCCAGAACCCGAAAATTCTCTGTTCAATCTTGGAATACGATGAAGCGGTAGTTTTCAAGTTAACAGCTACGTTTGACCTTTAGTTCAGTAAATATTGGCAATTACAGGGCTGAGATTATCCAAATGATTCTAAGGAAGGTGTGTGGAGTTCAAAACACAGTGGAGCCCTTGCTGTATTACCACTTGACATCACAAGGTGGAACAGATTGTTTTCTGTTTAGGAATGAATCAAACCAAACCCAACTCCAGGTATGTTTGTGATGAGTAGGGGTGTGCAGAAATATTGGAATATCCATATATCATATTGTTTAATGTGATGATACAGTATCAATATCGGGGACTGCTGTATCGATATATATCGCCAAGAGTATTTTTTGGTATACTTTACTAAATAATTTTGTTACAGAGCTACAGTTTTGTTGTTTGTTTCAAGGAAGGAAATTTGTTTATGCAGCACATTTGACATATTCACTTTTTTGATGATTAAAATGTTTTCATATTAACTTTGCACAAGATGTGGTTTAACAAAGACTTTTAGTATCACAGCCATTATTATTGTTTTAACCGTATCAAATTGATTTGAAATATATCATATCCAACCGAAAGCGCGCTATATGTGTCGTATTGTGGCCTATGTATCGAGGTAGGTATTGTATCATACCAGCCCTAGTGATGAGGAAACAACATTGTAGCATAGATGAGAAAATATGAGAGAGTCAGGTCCCCATTGCCTGAGAGTATATACTGATTTAGTCCCCATAATGTGATAAGTACCCACACACAGGCTTTAATCTCCATGTGGTGAAGCAGGTAATGTAAAGTGCAGCAGCTCCAGCGTACGGGGCTCCTGGGACAGACTGGGGGTTTCCAGTGCAAATTGCTCAAATGCAAATAAAAAATCCCACGTGCCATAAAATACATGTACAGAGACGGAACAAGAAGACTATTGGCAGCGTTTAACATCGGAAACAACCTCGGAGTTATAAAAAAATTGTGTATTTACCTTGAGGCATGGCTATGAATAGAATTTAATGCATTATTTAACAAAACATAATAAAGAAGACATTTGTGAAGAGCTATGTGTTAATTATACTTGCAAAAATAAATGTTATTTCTTTGATTACTTTGTGTCTTTGGGCAAGACACTTAAAGGGCCCATATTATGTAATTTTTTGTCATATTTCATAATGTTGTTTCCTCATCAAAGACAGACCTGGAGATGTGTTTTGTTTCAACACACAAACCCTGCATTAGACTGAGTTCTTTTTCTCAAACAAAAACTACAGGTTCATGACATCTCAAGGTAGAAAAGAGCATTTTGAACTTTGGAGAATAATAAATAATACAGAAATGAACTTAATAAGAAACTGCTTCTGTAGATTCTAAGACTAATGCTTCCTTAAAGGAACATGATGTGTTTGGCTCTTTGTAGATGTTATTGCTTTGACTGTAATGATTCGCAGTGTTTCATTTAAGTGTCTATCTATTTAAAGCATTTATTTCATGTTTTTGTGTTATTATAGCTCAAAAACACCTCATGCAGTTGTATGTGAGAGATGTCGCCTGTCCACAGATCTTACCTGTACCTCTTGGCATCACCTGCTTGTCTTCATGGAGGTAGGTTTAACACCACAGTGCTGTAGTTGTGTAAGAATAGTATCGTAGTGTAGTGAATAATCGCAATACTAAAATGTTAAACTTGATTTTGATACAAAGGAAAAACTCACTACTCAAACCGATTTCAATAGCACAATGATGATAAAAAAACAAAAAACACTTTCTTTAGACAGTAGAATGTGATTTCAGCTCTTAGGTCTTATATCTGTGTAAAGACGTCCAGGTATAATTTTATTTATTTTTTATATATTTACGATAAGGAGAGTGGACAGAAAACATTAATCTCAGAGAGAAAAAATGCTCTGTGCCAGATTTAGCTACAAGCTCCTTTCCATCTGCAGTCCTTGAGCAGGTACATACATTAAAAGAAACTATTTACATTAAACCAACTCTAACAACAGCATTTCATCAGTAAGTGTCTAATTAAAATAACCACTATCCAATTAATTCATCATTAAACATTTAAAACAAGCAAAATTAATTCATTCTAATTTCCATAAATACATTTCAAATTCATCATTATCTTCTAAAAATGTCATTCTCATCAAAATCCTCTAAAATGTACATAAAATTCATCAGTATTATCCTAAATAAAATGTATCAACAACACAATACATTTATGTCTACACAATACATCTACAGCACAATCAGTCAGAATGTTTAAACATTTGAAGAAGCCTGATGTTGACACGTCTGCTGCTCAGAAGTCATTGTTTTAGCCCATTTCGTGCAAGTTTTAAGGTCAGCTGGAAGCATGTTCCAGTTTTTTACTGCTGTGTATGAGAAAGCCGACTGTCCCGTCACAGAACATTTAAAGGGAATGGTTTAAAGAGATGTTCTAGTCATCTGCTCAGATCTTAACTGGAAGAAGCCTCAGGAGGGGCACTGTAGGTTCCATAGTGCTCCATGGGCATATACTAGTCTGTGAGCTCTTGTACTTGTTCTGATTCAGCTCAAGATCATTCTAAAGACATTCAGGAAAGATTCATTTCTGTCCTGTCAATGTTACTTTTTTTCAAGTATCAATACCTGCTCAAATGACTATCTACTTTTGACTAGTAGATAGTTTTAGTGTCCAGTATCTGGACGTTTTAGTATTCTTATTGTGTACATCAGGGGTGTCCAAACTTTTTTCATCAAGGGCCATATATCTAAACACAGACAGAGCAGAGGGCCGATCGAAGGCCATAGACTGATGCTCATTACAGTGAATAATTGAAATATGTGCATGTTTAACACTTTAGAATGAGCCATCAGTCCTTTACTTTTGCTAAGATCCTCAAAACCACACACTAAATATTAAATATTGGCTTTTTCAAGGTAGATTTTCAAAAAACTTGCAATAAAATGTAAATTTTTCATTGATACAAGTTAATTTGGGCCAATTCTCCTAGAAGCCTGAGGGCCAAGAAGAATTTGTCTGAGGGCTGCCCTTGACCCACGGGCCATAGTTTGGACATGCCTGGTGTACCTATTCAAGACAGCCACTCAACAGATAATAGTTAAAGGGCCTTTTTTCTATTTTCTGATCTATGGTATAATGTTGTTTTCTCATCAGAGACATACCTGAAGTTGTGTTTTGTTTCATTCAGATGTGCTTTTAAACTCCATACACCTTAAAAGGTAGCCGTTAACTACCACTGCATGACATCACAAGGTGGAACAGAGCTGGTTGGTGTCTGATTTTTCGTTGCTTATGACACCACTATGTTAGCGTAAAATCTAACTTGTGGAAAACACTATTCCTCCTCTTTCTGTCACCCAGACTTAAGCTGCAATTGGAACAGTGAGCATCTTTTCTTCTTCTCTTCTTTCTTTTGTGTTTGTGATTTGGAAGCGGTCCCTGTCTCTTTGGTCAGACAAAAGTGCCGCGTAGAGCAAAACCTCCACTCCACTTTTATGATCTGTGTGGGCCGTCCTATTTGTACATGCTTAGAGCAAATTAGACCAGCAGCTGTGCACAGCTCTCCCTCCTTGTTGGCTTTTCTCGATAAAAATATGCTTCGGTAAACCTCACAGCTGGGATCTAGAAATATGCAGGGCTTTTTGGAATTCATCGGTGCACTAGGACAGCAACTGACGATTATTTTCATAGTCGACTAGTCTGCGATTACGGTTTCGATTAGTAGAGCAGTCAAAGAAGAATTTCTATTGTATATTGAGACTTTAAAGGCCCATATTACGCTGCTTCTGATCGATGTTATATAATGCTGTTTCCTCATCAGAAGCATATCCTGAGTTGTGTTTTGTTTAATTCACGTTGAAACAGAAAAAACTCAAGTTCCACCTTCTGATATCATGTGGTAATACAGGAAGTGCTCCACTGTGTTTTTAAATGACATACACCCTCACTAGAATCATTTGGACAACTTCAGCCCTGGAATTTTTCTAGTCTCTACTAAACAGAATGTTAAAGGAGCTGTTAACTTGAAAACTACTGCTTCATGACATCACAAGATGGAACAGATCATTTTGAGCTTTGGAGATGTAGACAGACTAATAATAAAGGATTACTTTAACAAAACACTCACACTTGTTTTTGAGGAGGTAACAATATTATAACATGGCTTAAATCTCTCATGAGTAAATTTTGCATAATATAGGACTTTTAAAAAACATTTTCAACCAAATAAATGTTTAAATGAAATGTCCTGGATAGAGAATATTATGAATGTATTTTTGATGAGAATAAAAGTTATTTACTATTTTTTTGACATTTTGGTTTAATAATGCCATTGTGTTTCAAAGTCTCTATTGTCCAGATATTATGTTTATCAAAATACGACTATGACTATTTTTATAAACTAGTCATGATTAATCGATTAAGGGTAGAAATTAGGGTTGCAATGATATCCACATCTCAGGGTACAGTATTATCACGATGTGCATCTCACAATACGATATTTATTGCGATATATTAAAGAGGCTAATATAATTGTAGATGGGACACTTTTTTTTGCTTTTAAAATACCTTAACAAGATTTTGGTGTGAATTGTGTACTGTCATAATCCAAAGAATTCAAGTAAAAAACATATTTCTTCATGTTGTCTGAGCTGAAATGAATCATGGGATATGTAGTTCCCGATGTTTATAAGCTGTTGCTACTGTAAAACCATGCATTTAAGCAAAGGAACTTGTGATTCGGTATACTGTGACAGCCCACGATATTATTGTGAGACTTTTGATGATATGATATCACGATATTTTGGTTATTGTTACATCCCTAGTAGAAATGTCATGATACTAAAATTTCAACTTCGATACCATGGCGTAGACTCGATACCGAATCCAATACCACAATGATAATTAAAACACGCTTTCTTTAGACACTTGAATGTGATATGCAACATTAAATAATAGTAGATTCCATAGTGGTCCATGGGAGTACACTATTCTATGTGCTCTTATACTTGTTCTGACACAGCTCAAGATCATTCTGTTATTTATTGCAGTTCATATTTTTTACAGTGTTGCACATTTAGAATACTTTTGAACAAATGGTTTGGTTTCAGTATCATCTTATATCGTCTATATTTACAGAAATATATGGCACTTTAAAATGTGATACCGTGACAGGCCTTTTGGGCAGTGGAGAGCAGAGGGGCCACCTGCGCAGATGTTTTCCATAAGCTCCAGAAATGAACGTAAGAGGATGCACCTGCTCTCACTCCACATCTGGATCTGAGACCACGATCACAGTCCATTCTTCTTAAATATTTTTGTAGATGAAATATTTTCTTTGTGTAGTTGTAGTTGTGTTTCTGGTTATAAAGTAGAGATAAGACAATATATCAGTTTGCTCATATTTGGACTTCTTAGCGTTTCGTCTGTTGTCCTTAAATCTCCAGTATCCGATGTCTGCTATTTTATTTTGGTTGATCTGCTGCCTAAAAAATACACACAAACTTTATATTAACACTTTGATATGAAGAGATAGCTGCACAAAACATGATTACTGCTGTCTTAAAGGTTGTGAAAAAGACTGTGGGAGAGGTTGTAATAGTATTTAAATCGCATAATTTGTGGAAAAGAATACAAATCGGCCCTACACATCAGCCCTACTATCCCAAATCCTAATTTTGTAATCTGTCTGAAACCATCAGATAAAGTTTTCAAATGTTGAGACTAAACAGTGAAGTCATTCTGATGAAAATATACAGTATCTTGCTGTGAAAATTGGTTGGTTGATATCTTTGACAGTGTGACAGGAATAAGAAGTACTCTAAGCTGTAAAGTCGGGTTCTTTGGTTCTTTGCCGAATCATCTGTGATTACAGAGCAGAGCGCCAAAGCACACTCTGTGAAAGAGGCAGTTTCTATCAGACGATCCATCAGTGGTCCAGTCTCCTGAGGGCCTCCTGAGTCTGACCCAAGAAGAGGGCCTGGGCACCTGCACTGCCCTCACAACAGCAAAACAACTATATCTGTACTAGTAACTGATGCACCAATCTGTTACTGGTATTGAACATTGCCGCCGATACTGAACATTCTGCTCTATTGGCTTCCAAATATTAGTTCAGTGAATAGCCAGGTTGGACATATAAATTGATGTAATAACACTATTTGCTGGTTGTAGTTGGCCCAGAAAATCTCAAAAGTAAATGCTCATTTATACAAACTTGTTCTGTGCTGTGTTACTTGAGAGATAAACAACAGCTATATAACACAGTTTTTGGACCAGTTTTGTTTTATTTTCCTTATTTTTTGGAAGAAATAAATGTTAACATTTTCAATCTGTGCGCTGTTATGGATTAATATCAGGTAACAACAAAAACTTAAAGCCACAGTATTGGAATCGGTATCGGAACTGAAAAAGCTGCGTACAAATCCGTAGTGCTAATATGCATATCGGACAACATATAGTAGGACAGGTTAATAAATTTATCTTTTTTTTTTTTGTCTTACTAAAAACAAATAAAATGCATGTCCATATTAAACATAATCAATACAAACTTTTAATCATTGCCATAGAACACAACAAAAAACAAAAT